GACGCGCGGCGACGGCGTCGTGCGCGTCGAGGAGGTCGCGCGCGCGGCGCGCGAGGCGCGCGGCGTCCTTCGCGGCGTCCGTCGCGTCGCCGCGCCGCGCGGCGACGGCCGCCGCGCGCGCGGCGAGGCCCGCGGCCTCCGCGAGGCGGTCGCGGCGCGCGGGGCCGCCGCTCCGCGCGAGCCACTCGAGCCAGCGCGCGAGCGCCGCGTCGCGGTCCACGGACGGCCGCGACGACCGGAGCGCCGCGACGCGGTCGTCGACGAGGCGCCGGCAGCCGCCGTCGCTCGCGTAGAAGGCCGCGAGGTCGCCGGGCGGGCCGGGCGCCGTGCCGGCGCGCGCGCGCGACCGGTACCAGCGCGCGGCGCAGGCCTGCGGCAGCTCGTCGAGCGTCATGAGGAGAGCGCTGGAACCTCGGCTCCCTCGGAGAACAGCAGCATCTCAGCATCTCAATGATGTTTGCCGATGTATCTCCACGAGGCAGCCCCAAAACAGCTCCAACGCTGTAGCCGCGCCGCGCCGCCCCCAGCCGCTACCATGGGCGACGAGGAGTCGAACTACAAGGTCGAGTACCTGGACCTGCCCGAGGATTCGACGGAGGAGAAGGAGTTCGTCTGGGTGGCCCGGGCGGGCAAGGCCCGCGTGACCTACAACAGCGGGAGCGTCTACGAGGGCGACTTTAACGACGAGAAGATGAAGCACGGCACGGGCAAGTTCGTCTGGATGACCCAGGGCGAGGAGGACGAGGAGCCCAAGCCCCTGGCGACCTACGAGGGCGAGTACGCCGACGGGAAGCGCAGCGGCGTGGGCACGATGACGTACCCGTCCGGCGACACGTACACGGGCGAGTGGAAGGACAACAAGATGCACGGCACGGGCACCTACAAGTACAAGAAGACGGACGACATCTACAGCGGGTCCTTCGTCGACGGCGAGAAGGAGGGCGCGGGCACCTACGAGTTCGGCAAGGACTCGTCGCGCCTCGACGGCACGTGGGCCAAGGGCGCGTTCACGTCCGGCGAGTGGCAGTTCAAGGACGCGGGCAACTACCAGGGCACCTTCGAGGGCGGCCAGCCCATCGGGGCCGGCAAGTTCAACTTCGTCACCGCGGGGGGCATCAAGATCGCCCAGGAGGGCGAGTACAAGTCCGACGCGCCCGTCGACCCGGACGCGGCCGAGGACGCGGAGCCGCCCGTGCGAACGTGGCACGGCAAGCCCGTCTTCTCCTCCTAGGCGCGGGGGAGCGGCGCCGGGGCCGCGCGGGGGCGGTACAACCATGTAGATCACCCGGGGCTCTCGAGAGCGGCGCACTTCGTTCGCGTGAGGCTCGCGTGGCCTTCGCGGCGCGTCGAGCCCCTGGCCTGGAGTCGCTTACTGCTAGCCCGGGCCTAGCCGAGACCCACGGGGGAACCGGACTCTCGCTGGGAGGAGCGCCTAGGCGCGTCGCGTCCGGGGTGAGGAACCCCAAAGAGCGCGCTGGTCCAGCGCTCTCGCTGCCTCGTGGCCGTCTGACGCCGGGGAAGCCTCCGGACCTGCCGCGTCCTCTCGCTCGGTCGACCGAACGGGGTTTCGCGGCCAGGGCAGCAGGCGGGGCTGCTGGCCCCAGCCCCGGCGCCGCGGCGCGGCTTGGCGGCGGCGTCGAGGCTCGAGCTGTGGAGGCTGTGGAGCACCCTATCCGCCCAGCTCGTCGCGTGCCCACACGAGAGCCTATCGCAGCTCGTCGTCGCCGCGCACCCACACGACTCGCATCAATGGCCAGCCTCCGCGCCGCGACGACGCTGCTGCGCCGCGGCATTTCGCCCATCAGCCCGCGCGGCGCGCGCGGGCTCGCGCAGAAGAGCTCCTGGCAGGACGCGGCCCTCGCGTCGGCGACGCAGTCCATCAAGGGCGTGGGCCAGGTCGTCTTCCTCGACAAGCCCGCCCAGGGCAACGTCGTCCTCGCGGGCCTCGCCTACGGCGACCCGGCGCTCGCCGTGCTCGCCGCGGTCGGCGGCGCGTCGGCGACGAGCGCAGCGAGGCTCCTCGACGTCGACCGCGGCTCGGTCGACGCGGGCCTCTGCTCCTACAACGGCGTGCTCGTTGGCTGCGCCTTCGCCGCGTTCCTGCCCGGCGCGGTCGCGCCCCTCGCCGCGACCGTCGCCGGCGCCGCGGCGACGGCGCCGCTGTCCGCCGTGCTGAAACGGGCCTGCGGTGCGACGCCGCAGTTCACGCTCGCCTTCAACGCCGTCGCGCTCAGCGCGTTGGCCTACACGAAGCCCTTCGCGGTGCCGCCGCCGCCGGCCGACGCGGCCATCGGCTTCGCGGACGTCGCCGCGACGCCGCTCGTGGGCCTGTCGCAGATCTTCGTCGTCGACTCCCCCGTGACGGGCGCCGCGATCGCCGTCGCCCTCGCCCAGGCCGACACGTCCTACGCGACGCACGCGATCAACGGGTCCGTCGTCGGGTCCGTCGTCGGGCTCGCCGTGGGCGCGGACCCGCACGAGGTCGTCCACGGCCTCTGGGGCTTCAATTCGGCCCTCACCGCGCTCTCCGTGGCCGTCTTCTTCGAGCCCAGCCGGGCGTCCTACGCCCTCGCCGGCGCCGGCGCCGCGTCGACGGCCGTGCTCTTCGGCGGCCTCAAGACGGCGCTCGGCGCCTTCGCGGTGCCCGCGCTCACGCTGCCCTTCTGCGCCGCCGCCGCGACGTGCTACGCGCTCCCCGCCGCGCTCGGCGAAACCGGCGCGCTCCGCCTCAAGTAACCTTGCGCCCTTACGCGGCATCTCTAGACCTCCGTGAGGGAGCCCTCGGCCTTGTCCATGACCTCGACGAGGGAGTGGAGGCGCGCGACGATGGCCGCGACGGCGTCGTCGTCGACGCCGAAGACGCGGATGTCGACAGACGACGGGCGCTTGAAGTTGAATTCCGTGTTGAACTGGTCGTTGGGCGACACGTTCAAGTTCGAGAGCTCGAGGTCGCCGCCGCTCGTCTCGATGATGTCGAGCGCCTGGTTGATGAGGCCCGTGTCGAAGAGGTGGCCCCGGAGCACCAAATCTTTCGACGGCCAGCCGAAGGAGCCCGTCGTCTCCGCGCCGCCCTCGACGCAGGACGCCTGCGCGAGCGCGGCGTAGACGCGGTCGTGGAAGTCGAGGTCGAGCGGCGAGAGCGGCGACCGGATGCCGCCCGCGGTCCTGCCCATGCGCTGGAGGGCCCACTTCACGGGGATCGGGTTCGCCTCGCAGAAGAGGTCGCGGTGGAGCGACTGGAGCGACGCGTCGACCTTCTCCGCGGCGTCGGCGTCGCCCGACCCCGCGGCCGCCATGACCTGCGCGACGGCCGCGGGCGCGACGTTCGCGGTCACGGAGATGACGCCGTCGCCGCCCTGGGTTACGTAGTCCCGCGCCATGCCGTCCTCGCCCGAGTACTGGCGGAAGCCCGCGCCGCAGACGGCCCGGAGGGGCCCGACGCGGTTGTTCGCGCCCGTCGCGTCCTTGAGCCCGACGACGTTCGCGTGCTTGCTCAGCTTCACGGTCGTCTCGACGGTCATGTCGACGCCCGTGCGGCCGGGCACGTTGTAGAGCACAATCGGTAAATCGACGGCGTCGGCGACGGCCGTGAAGTGCGCGAGGAGGCCCGCCTGCGACGGTTTCACGTAGTAGGGCGTCACGACCAGCGCCGCGTCCGCGCCGAAGAGCTTCGCCTGCTTCGTCGCCGCGATGGTCGCCGCCGTGGAGATCGTACCCGTGCCCACGACGATGGGAAGCACGCCGCCGATCTCCTCGCGCGTCGCGGCCATGACCTCCTCCTTCTCCTCGTTCGTGAGGCACGACGCCTCGCCCGTAGTGCCGAGGATGACGACGCCCGCCGTGCCCTCGGCGACGTGCCACCGCAGGAGCGCCCGGAGCGCGTCGAGGTCCACGGCGCCGTCGTCGGCCATGGGCGTCGCCAGCGCCACGAGCGACTTGCCGCCGCCGGGCAGAGGCATGGGCCCCCTCGCCATCATCGTCGTCGACGACCGCGACGACCGCGACGGGCGCAGGGCCCCGAGGCGGCGGGGCGTCGCGTGCGGCCCGAAGGCCGCGCTTTGCGCCGCGAGGATTAGCGCGAGGAGCACGCGCATCAGGTTTTAAAGCTCGAGATCTTGGCGGCTCGGAGCGAGCGCTTCGCCGAAGCGGCGTGCCCCACGACGCCGCGGCAAAAAACACGCGCTCGGCCCGACCAACCCCAAAAACAGCTGGCGTATCGCGAGACGATGCTTTTTACATCCCCACAATATCAGGACGCCGCCGCCGGGCAGACGAGGCCGCGGAGGTCCGCGACAACTTGACCCAGGGAGATGCCCGGGTTCTTGCGCGCGTGCTGGTACATGGCGACGCCGAGCACGGAGAAGAAGAAGCCGGCGTACTCCTGGTCCGTGATGTGGGAGTCGCCGACGACCCAGGTCGACACGATGACGACGCCAAAATTGCGGACGAGCGACGTGATCCGCAGTGTGAGCGCGGACGTCGCCTGGACCATCAAATTCGTCGCGAGGTTGACGACGACGCCGCCCATGCTCGCCGCCACGAAGGGCAGCGGGTTCGCGGCGACCTTGGCGCAGGCGTCGCCCACGTCCTCGAGCAGGAGCGACGTGATCGCGAGCGCGACGATCGCCGCGGGCCCCATGACGAAGAGCCCCTCGACGGACCCAAACTTGCGGTCCACGAGGAGGATCTGCATCGTGATGAGCTTGATGGCCTCGAAGACCTCGGACGCGAGCATGACCGCGACGCCGTACGCGGACATGTGGACCTCGCCCTGGACGGCGACGGCCGTGCCCGCGGAGATGATCAGGATCGACAATACCAGAACCGCGCTCGGCCGCTCGAGGCGGCTCACGAACAATAGGACCATCAGCACCACGGGCGCGAAGGCCTTCAAGATCTGCACGAAGGCGACGCTGTTGTAGAGGTACGCGACGTTGCCCGTCGTCAAACACAGCGCGAGCGCGGCGCCGATGGGGCCGACGCGCGTCGCGTAGAACGACGGCGTCATGCCCGCGAGCTGCTCCGACGACGCCAGCCCGGCGTAGAGCGCGCCGCCGCTCAGGCACGTCGACAGGCACAGACCCATGAGCGACAGGAAGCTGCCGTAGGGAAAGTCGATGTCGACGAGGATGTGCTTATTCAGGAAGATGAGGCAGGGCCCGGCGAGGCAGTAGAGCGCCGTCGCCGCGACGGCGCGCACGACGCCGCCGAACTTCTTGGGCCGCTCCTCGCGCGGGCTCTTGGGGTTCTCGGCGTCGAGCTCCAACGCCTTGGCGTCGTCGTCCGTGCGCGGCACCTGGCTGTACTTGCCCTTGGACGACCGCGCGTGCGCCGCGTCCTGCGGCTGCGGCATGGCGGGGTGTGCAGCTGTGGTGTTAATGTGGCGTCGCGAGCGGTTTCGCAGCTGTGCTGTTCGCTTCGCGTCGCGAGGCGGACGGCGCGGTGCCTCCAGGGCGCGCGTCTCACGATCGTCGTGTCGTCACAATTGCCACGGGACTTCAACACCTTTGTTTTACCCCCGAAACGGATGCCTCAGCCCACGATGGCAGCCTTGAGGAGTGTCTGAGGCGTGTTCGTAAACAGGCGCGGCGATCGTCTGAAGGTGCGCCGAAATAATGCTGCGCGTCATGCCGCCCGGCGGCGGCGGGCGCAGTTCCCTCCACGGCAGCCTGCCGGGCGGCGGGCGCAGCAGCCTGCACGCGTCGCTCCCCGGCGGGCTGCCCGGCGCGTCGGCCCCGGGCCCGCGGGGCCCGCCGCGGGCGGCCCGGGGCCTCAAGCGCCAGGAGAGCGCGTCGCTGGGCGTGCGCCGGTCGCAGGACGCGCAGCGGAAGAGAGACCTCGAGCTCCGCGCGTCGCAGCAGCCGCCGTCGCCGACGGGCGACGAGCCCCGGAAGCGCGGCACGTTCCACGGCGGCGCGCGCGCGACGTTCAACCGCAACTCGCGGGGCACGTTCCGCGGGGCCATCGGCGGCCTGCTCCGCACGTCCAAGGTCGACCCGGAGCCGGAGCCGGCCGAGGAGACGGACTGGGACGACTTCGTCGACGCCGCGGTCGGCGACGAGGATCTGGACGAGCTCGACGCGCGGTTCCCCGTGCTGACGACGGCGTCGCGGACGTTCCGCGTGATCGACGCCTGCGGGCTCGTCGCCGTGGTCTTCGTCGCGTTCTGGACGCCGTTCCGCGTCGCGTTCGTCGAGCGGGACGACGTCGCGTACGACGCCGTCGAGGACCTGATCTCGCTGGCCTTCTTCGCGGACATGGCGCTGCGCTTCAACACGGCCTTCCGCCACGACAACGGCATGCTCGAGCGGCGGCGGTCCGTCATCGCGGCGCGCTACTGCCGGGGCAGCTTCCTCTTCGATTTGCTCGCGACGGTGCCCTGGAGCCGAATCATCGTCGACGGCGCGGGCCGGACGGCCTACGTCAGCGACCGCTACCGCGTGCCCGTGCTGCCCATGTTCCGGGCCCTGCGCCTCGCGTGGATGCCGAGGCTGCGCGAGTACCTGGGCAAGGGCGCGCAGCGCCTCGACGTGAACCAGGGCTTCGCGCGGCTGGCCTACATCGCCGTCCTGCAGCTCGTCATCACGCACACGCTCGGCTGCATCTGGTACATCATCGGCAAGTGCGACGTCGCGTCGCGGGACGCGCGCGAGGACGTCATCTGCGTGAGCTCCTTCGGTTTGGACGACGATCTCGCGTACTTCGCCGCCTCGGGCGCGGACGGCTATTCGTCGCGGTGCACGTGGCTCGAGCTCTACGACATGCGGCGGGGCACGAACGTGGAGAAGTACGTCGCCGCCGTCTACTGGGCCTTCTCGACGCTCACGACCGTCGGCTACGGCGACATTAAAGCCTCGACGAACGACGAGCGGCGCTTCGCGATGATCGTCATGCTCACGGGCGTGTCGTGGTACGCGTACATCGTGTCGACGACGTCGTCGATCATGGCGACCTTCGAGTGGGAGAGCAACCGCATCCGGGAGCGCATGCTCAAGGTGTCGGGGTTCCTGCGGGAGAACAAGCTCCCCGACGACCTGAGCCGCCAGATGGTGCGGTTCTACAACCATTTCTACAGTTCGAACACGTGGAAGATGGCGTCCTACGACGGGTCCGAATTGCTGCAGGTCATGCCGCCGACGCTGCGCTGCGACGTCATCTTGTATGTGGAGCGGGACTTGATAGCAAAAATCCCGTTCCTGGACAACAAGTGCGGCGCGTTCATCGCGGACCTCGTCGTCATGCTCCAGCCGTGCTCCGTGTCCGCGGGCGAGTACGTCATCCGCGAGGGCACGATCGCCAACGAGATGTTCTTTCTCGTCAAGGGCAAGGCCGTCGTTTTAGCGAAGGGCGCCAAGGTCCACGCGTTCAACGCGGGGTCCTACTTCGGCGAGGTCGGCTGCATCCGCGGCGCGGTGCGCACGGCGTCGATCAAGGCCATCATGCGATCCGAGCTCCAGACGCTCCACAAGTCGTCCCTCCTCAGCCTCATCGAGGAGTACCCGGACACGCGCGACGAGCTCAACATCACCGCGGACGCGCGGACCGCCGACACGGTCCAAGTCATGGCCAAGTCGCCGGGCCCGAAGCCCGGCGTGTCCCGCCAGACCTCGGGCCGGAAGCAGTCCATCTGCTCGCCGGGCCTCGCGCGCCAGACCTCCGACCGGAGCTACAAGGCGCCGCCGGCCGACGCGGCCCCGGGCGGCGACGCCGTCACGACGCGCCACCTCAAGGACATGGTCAAGCGCGAGCTCGCCGCGTCCCGGACGGAGATCGCCGCGCTCGTCCGCGCCGTCGTCGCCCGCGAGCTCGACGCCCAGAACTCGGACGCGGGACCCCTGTCGCCGGCCGCCCGGCCCCGCGTCGTCGCGAGTTAACATTGTTGAACCTTTCACGACGCTCTTTATTAAAGCCGCGCCCCGCCAACACTGCTAGTTGAACTTCACGATGCTCATTTGAGCCGCAGCCAGCCTGATGGGCTGCCTCGTCCGGTGGCTCGCGGTCGCCGGCGCCCATGTGCTCGCCGTTGCCGCACCGGAGGCGCTGCCGCGTCCGGACGTGGCGCTCTGCACGCCGGGCGGCGCCGCGCCGGGCTGCGCCTTCGCGGTGGCCACCATGGCCTCCGCGCCGTCGCTGCCGGAGCTCGAGCTCTTCGTGCGCACGCTCGCGCGCTTCGACGGGTCGCGGCCGCTCTACGTCGCCGTCGACGCCGCCGCCGGCGCCTGGCTCCGGGCGCAGACGTTCATGGCGGCCGTCGCGCTCGACGTGCTCGAGAAGTACGGCCCGCGCGGCCGCGACGGCCTCAAGCGCCAGAAGCACCGCAACGCGACGGACCCCTGGCTCTCTTTGCAGCTGGAGAAGACGACGGTCATGGAGGCCGCGCTCGACGCGGGCCACGCCGGCGTCCTGTTCGCGGACGCGGACGTGATCTGGCTGAGCCCGCTGCCCGCGATGGGGCCCGAGGCCCTGGGCGTGAGCCGCTGCCTCTGCAGCAAGCACACGGAGCGCCGCTACGGCCGCTACAACGGTGGCATGGTCTTCGCGCGGAACGCGTCCGTGCTAGACGTCTGGCGCCGCGCGTCCGTCGGGAGCCGCTACTACGAGCAGTCGGCGCTCGAGGACGTCGTCCGCGCGGTCCCGAGCTTCCTCCTGCCCCGCGAGGCCGACGTCGCCGCGCTCTACCTCCTCAAATCCCACTCCCACGACGGCCGCGACCACGCGGCGGACCTCGAGCTCGCGGACGACAACGCGACGGTCCTCTGGATGCGGCGGCCGCTTCTGAGCGCGCACGGCCACGTGCTCCCGGGGCCCCAGTACGCGCGCTGGGCCCGGCCCGCGGCGGACCGCCTCCGGGCCGTGTTGGGCCGGTCCGTCATCCGCGACGACCTCTGCGCGACGCACGCGGCGCTTTGTAAAGATCCGGGGTAATCTTTGCTTCATGTTTCGCTACGAGGTCCCTTTCGCTTGCCAACGGACTCTGAGCACCTCAAAAAACGAGCCAAGCCCGAAGCCGCACGCGCGCACCCTCAAGAAGCGTCCAACGATGCTATTCGTAGCTCTCGCATCGGCGACCATTGCATCCGCAATAAAGACGTCGCCAGCGGCGCTGCGCCAATTCGGAGCGCTCTCCACGCACGGCGTGGCAGCGACGCGCTTCGCCGACGCCAAGGACGCGTACGCACTCCTCGAACCCATCCGAGACGCCTTCGACGAGCTGCGCTCCGTGCATCCGGACGCGCTGGCGCCGCAGCTGGAGCCGCCGGCGCCGGGCACGACGCTGCACGCCAAGGACGCGAAGTTCCATTGCTACGCGGCGGGAACCACGCGCGCGATGCGATGGCTCTACGCCGCCGACGAGTCCACGCTGGAGCTCTTCGAGCCGCTGGCGGCGCACTTCCGGCCCCACTTCGACATGACCGTGTCGGCCGCGGGCTGGGACGGCGACGGCGACGGCGCGCCGCTGACCGTGCTCTCGGCCGCCAGCTTCGTAGCGGTCGTCGGCGCCGACGAGGGCATCTCGGACGAGATCGCCCGCTGGCACGAGGACTGGGGCGCCTGCGGCGACCACGAGGCGTTCAGCGTGCTGCTTCCCATGCATCATGTTGACATCACCGCCCAAAAAGCCTACCGGCTCGAGTATCGGACGTGGGAGAACGACCGCGTCAACGTCTACGACTATCAGCTCGGCGACGCGGTCCTCGTCGACGGCCGCGCGCCCCACCGGACGGCGCCCTTCTCCGCGGCGGACCTCGAAGAGGCCGACGGCGTCCGCGTCCTCGTGTGCCTCAACTTCGCGTCCACGGACCCCGCGGCGCGCGACGGCCAGCTCGACACGATGCGGAGGCAGACGCCCAACTTCTTCCACCTGCCCCACTAAGGGTATGTCGCCTAGAGAGCTGCACGCCTGAGCGCCGTGGAAAATGTGCTACAAATTGCACTTCTGGCAAAATTAGTGAAGGTTTTTGTTTACCTCACCGTCCGCAGGATCTATATACTATTTTGCAGTGTGTCGCGGTGCACACGTCCGAGCAGCAACATAAAACTTTTAATGAGTGGTTTAAAGCGAGCGCAGCGAGCAACCTCAATCAAACGAGTGGCCGATAGCTCGCGAAGCGAGCTTGCCGGCCGTAGGCTTGTATTGAACTGATCGTGAACCATTCCCGGCGGCAAAAGAATCGGATAGTGAACCATTCCCGGCGGCAAAAGAATCGGCCCGACGCCCGGGACAGCCCAGCTTCTCTCAAACTGGCGCGGCGTGAGAAGCCAAGACGTCCACTCGGTATGCTCGCGCTGCTGCTGCTGCTCCGGGCGGCCGCCGCGACGACCGACGACGTGGTCGTTCAGCGCGGCGCCGTCGATCACGCCACGGTGGCAGCCCTCGCGGCGGACATCGCCGGGCAGCCCGCGGCCAAGGGCTGGATGGCCGTGCCCGGCGCCGTCGCGGCGCTCCTCGGCGACGCCGGCGCCGTCAAGGCGCCCTACCGCGTCGCCGCCGGCGCCGTCGAGGCGCACCGCGACACGGAGGACGGCGCGGCCGTCGACGGCGACGTGTCCGTGCTCTACGTCGGCGCGGACGCCGGCGCGACGTTCGTCCTCGTCGACGCGGCCACGGGCGCGGAGACGCGCGTCCCCGTCGAGGCCGGGACGCTCATCCGCTGGCGCAACGGGCGCTTCTCGCACCGCGTCGACGCGGAGGACCAGCGCCGCGCGCTCCTCGGGCCGGCCGCGCCCAAGGCCGGCGGCGGGCTCCGCGCGGTCGGCAACGCGCAGGCGGACGACGGCCTCCAGTGCGCGTCGGGCGAATTCGCGATCACCTTCGGGTACCGGCCGTCCGGCGCGGCCTGGGGGTCCATGAACTCCTACCCGGACGCGGAGGAGATGTGCCTCGCGCCGTCGTGTTTCGTGAAGACGTTCCAGCTCACGGAGACCATCGACGAGGCCGCGGGCCTCTCCTTCGCCGTCGTCGACGCCGGCTCGCCCCAGTCCGAGGCGTCCGTGCGCGTCTACGGCGACGACGAGATCACGTGGTACTTCTGCATCGACTCCGACGGCTCCGTGAGCCGCTACCCGTCCGCGGCGCCGACGGCGTCCGCGCGGCCCACGCCGGGCCCGTCCGCGGCGCCGACGACGACGGCGCCGTCGGCGCCGTCCGTCACGCCGACGACGAGCGCGCCGTCCGCGACACCGACGACCGCGGCGCCCACGACGGCCGCGCCGACGGTCGTCTCGTGCGCGTCCCGGGTCGCGGCGGGCAGCTGCGGCGGCGCGCGACTCCTCGGCTACGCCTTCGACGACGCCAACGCCTGCGCGAACCGCGCCGCCGCGACGAAGACCTGCGGCGCCCACCTCCAGTACTCGCCGCGCGTCGACGAGGTCGGCTGCTGGTGCTGCCCGGAGGCCTTTGAGCCGCCCGGCGACGCGTCGTCCGAGTTCGCGCTCTACGAGATCCGGGCCTGCGACGCGCCGACGGCGGCGCCGTCGGACGCGCCGTCCTTCTCGCCGACGCCCTACCCGTCGCCGTCCTGCGGCTTCTACGCGACGCTCTTCAGCGCGACGTTCCTCCCGAGCGGCGCCGCGTGGGCGTCCGCGCGCGCGTCCGTCTTCTACGGCACCTGGGACGCGGACCGGGACCCCGCGACGAACCCGCTCATCGCGACGCTCGCCTACCCGTTCCCGGATCTCGACTACCTCTGCGTGGCGCCGGGCTGCTACACGCTCGTCTTCGAGGGCGACGCGGACGGCCTGCGCTTCACGATCGCGTCGCCCGTCGCGGACCAGACGGTCACCGTGGAGACGTCGGACCTGGCCTTCTGCACGGACGAGGAGGGCCACTTCGACAGGGCGCCGACGGCCGCGCCGACGGCGACGGCGAGCCCGAGCCGCGCGCCGTCCGCGGGCGGGCTCGCGCTCGCGGAGCCGTGGAACTGCACGAACGGCACGGCCGCGCAGGTCCTGCCCTACGGCGACGCCTACGTCATCGCGGCGCTCGACGGCGGCTCGGGCACCTACCGCGTCAACCGTTATCTGGACGTGCCGAGCGGCGCCCAGGTCAACGCCGTCGCCATGGTCGGCGGCCGCGTCGTCGCGGCCGTCGACGGACGACTCTGCGCCGTCGACGGCGACGGGTCGCTCCGGTGCCTCGACGGCGCGCTCGGCGAGGCCTCGCCGGACGCCGCCGCGGGCCTGTTCGGGTCCTACTACTACGCGGCGCGGCCCGGCGCGCCGGCGTCGACCGGCGCGTTCTACTGGGTCGAGGACGCGCTCGGAGACGCCGCGGCGTACCGCGGCGCGGCGCCGTTCCGCGTCGCGGACGCGCTATTCCCCCACGGCGGCGTCCACGACGTCGCCGGCATCGTGGAGCAGCCCGGCGACGACGATCTGATTTTGGATGGGATCCTGGGCGGCGCGTATCTGGTGGGCCTCGGCTGCGGCTTCGAAGTCCTCGTGGTCCGGTTGCACGAGGACTCGGGCGCGCCCGAGGCCTACGCGGTCATGACGCCGCCGAGCACCGTGGCCTGGAACGGCGCGGACCCGCAGGCCCTGGTCACGTCGGGCTTCGGCGCGGCCTGGGCCTTTGGCAAGGGCGCGGGCACGCGCGCGTTCTTCGCGGAGAACGCGGGCCTCGGCGTCTTCGAGGTCCTCTTTCCGCTGACGGTGCCCGAGACCTACTGGAATTTCGACGACGACGAGGACGACGACGTCTACGTGCCCGTCGTGCCCGCGACGTCGCCGACGCCGACGCCGCGGCCCACGGCGAAGCCGACGGACGCGCCCGCGGACCTGACCTGCCTCGCGAAGATCGTCTCCGAGGGCGCCTGCGACCCGCCCGCGAGCAACCAGTCGTCCATGGGCCTGCTCAACGCCTACGACACGCCCGAGGAGTGCGCCGAGGCCATCCTCAGCGGCAACGACGCCACCGGCTGGAGCGCGGAGACGGAGCCGGCGACGAACCACGACTTCGCGCAGATCTGCGGCAAGCGGACCTTCATCTACGGCGACGTGTGGTGGGGCACGATCTGCAACTGCTGCACGAACTCCATCATCAACACGAATCCGACCTGGACCCACTACGACATCTACACCTACGACTGCGACTTCCCCGAGGACGTCGTCGCCGGGTCGCGCCTCGACGACTGCCCGGGCTTCGAGCCCTGCGAGAAACCGCCGCCGCTCGTCTGCCCCGGCACGATCGAGTGGACGCCCCACGCCATCAACGACGGCGCCGTCTGGGCGCCGTCGTCGCTCAAGGTCGCGGACCTCGACGGCGACTGCTGCGTCGACTTTGTGGTCACCGACTGTGTGCAAATCAACCAGTGAGCTGGGACGTCGGGGCCAAACTTGAGAATTCTCTAGCTCGGTCAAATCGAAGTCGATTCGGCTGATTTTTGGACGAATCGATTGCTCTCAGCGAGTTCTCGAAGCACGGCGGAAGTGATCGTGTCAAAACATTCGAATACGCGCACATTGAAGTCGGGTTGAAGATTTGATTTGCACACAGGTCACGGAGGAGAGCGGCGCGTCCAACTCCGTGGGCAACCGCGTGTCGACGTACCGCAACGACTGCGCCCAGAACTTCACGGAGATCCTAGAAGCCTACGACTTCTGCCCCGCGGGCAGCGACATCGGCGACATCGACGGCGACTGCGACCTCGACGTCGTCGCGACCGTCAAGCACGGCATCGACCGCGGCCGCCAGCAGGGCGACGTCAACTGGTACGAGAACTGGGAGGCGACCTTCGTGGCCCAGCGCCCCGTCTCCGGCGCGCCGGGCGGCGTCGAGACGCCCAACTACGACCACAACTACCCCTGGGGCGTCGAGATTGTCGACGTCGACGGCGACGGCGACCAGGACGTCGTCGTCAGCGACTGGGGCGACGGCCACGTCCAGTGGTACGAGAACTCGGGCGGACCGGACATCACCTTCGCCCTGCACGAGGTCGGCTACGCCGCCTCGACGTCCTACGCCGTCGTCGCGGCCGACGTCGACGGCGACGGCGACGTCGACCTCCTCGCCGGCTCCGCGCGGACCTACGCGATGACGCTCTTCGAGAACCTCGGCGACGCGCTGACCTGGACGGCGCACGCCGTCGCGACGCCGGACACGACCTACGGCGTCTCCGTCGCGGACGTCGACGGCGACGACGACCTCGACCTCCTCAGTTCGTCGCACGAGGCGGCCGACGACGCGGTCTGCTGGTTTTCGAACCTCGGCGGCCTGGCCTTCGACCGCGCCTGCCTCGCGGGCTCCGCGGAGGCCTTCAGCGTCGCCGCCGCGGACTTGGACGGCGACGACGACATGGACATCATCTCCGGCGAGACCGCGTGGTACGAGAACGACGGCGCCGAGGGCTTTTCGCGCCGCTTCGTCCACGCGACGCCCAACGGCGCCGCGGTCGTCGTCGCGGACGTCGACGGCGACGGCGACCTCGACATCGCCGCCGTGTCCATGGGCCGCGCGGACTTCGACTTCGAGGACCGGGACACCTACGAGTGCCAGTATCTCACGGACCTCGGCCAGGCGGGCTTCGCGGGCGACTGCACGGGCTTCATCTCCTGGTTCGAGAACGACTGCTCCATCGCCACGCTGTCGCCGACGGCCGGCAACGCCGACGGCGGGTCGGGCGTCGAGGTCGTCTGGCGGGGCCCGAGCGACGAGGCGGGCTACAACGACGGCGTCAACTGCCAGGGCGACCCGCCCTTCGCGTCGACGCCCTTCCCGACGCTCGAGCCGACGGATTACCGGGTGAGCGACCTCCGCGAATATTTCTTCCCGACGGCCGCGCCGTCCGTGTCGCCGTCCCTCGCGCCCACGCCCTACCCGTCGCCGGACTGCGCGTACCCGTCGCACGCGTTCGCCGCGGAGTTCCTGCCGTCCGGCGCGGACTGGGGCCCGGTCACGGCGTCCGTCTATTGGGGCACCTGGGACGAGGAACGGGACGTCGACATGAACCCCTTGATCACGCAGCTCTCGCACCCGTTCCCCGACGTCGACTACCTCTGCATCTTCACGGGGTGCTACACGCTCGTCTTCGAGATCGACGGCGTCGCCGAGGGGTTGTCGTTCACCATCTCGTCCGAAGCGACTCGCAGCACCTGAGCCTCGACGGGAGCGACGGCACGGAGACGATGACGATCAACGGGACGCAGAAGCTCGCGCTCTGCGCGGACGCGGACACGGGCGAGTTCAACCACGCGCCGACGGCCGCGCCGTCCCTCTCCATGCCGCCGAGCTACGGGCCGTCCCAACCGCCGAGCTACGCGCCGAGCGCGACGCCGTCGACGTACGCGCCGAGCGCCACGCCGTCGATGAACTTCCCGACCGTGAGCGGCGACTACTGCGCCGCGGTCGCGTTCCCCGCGATGGCCTGCTCCCAGAGCCTCGAGTTCCTCGGCTTCGACTTCGTCGACGCCAACGCGTGCGCACACGGCGCGAGCCGGGAACGGAAATGCGCCGGGCGCATCCACTACTCGGCGACGCGCAACGACGAGTACGGCTGCTGGTGCTGCGATTCCGACGCGTTGTACGTGAGCAACGACGACTTCGACGTCTACGACGTCGTGCTCTGCGGGGATCCATCCGCGGCGCCGTCGTCGATGCCCCTGGCGGCGCCCACGGCCGCGCCCACGTCGACGCCGTCGGCTCCGCCGTCCTTTTTGCCGACGCCGTACCCGTCGCCGGACTGCGCGTACCCGTCGCACACGTTCGCCGCGGAGTTCCTGCCGTCCGGCAAAGACTGGGCCCAGGTCACGGCGTCCGTCTATTGGGGCACCTGGGACGAGGAACGGGACGTCGACATGAACCCGTTGATCACGCAGCTCTCGCACCCGTTCCCCGACGTCGACTACCTCTGCATCTTCACGGGATGCTACACGCTCGTCTTCGAGATCGACGGCGTCGCCGAGGGCCTGTCGTTCACCATCTCGTCCGAAAGCGACTCGCAGCACCTGAGCCTCGACGGGAGCGACGGCACGGAGACGATGACGATCAACGGGACGCAGAAGCTCGCGCTCTGCGCGGACGCGGACACGGGCGAGTTCAACCACGCGCCGACGGCCACACCGACGTTGAGCCTCGTGCCGAGCTACGGGCCGTCCAGCCCGCCGAGCTACGCGCCGAGCCCGACGCCGTCCACCTACGCGCCGAGCGCCGCGCCGTCGTCGCGGCCGACGGAGTCCTTCCCGCCGAGCGCCGGCCCGACGGCCTCCGCGGCGCCGACGGCGCCCGTCTGCGCCCACCTCGCCTACCCGGAGACGGCCTGCCCCGGCGACGCGGCGCTCCTCGGCTTCTACGGCAGCAAGAACGCGTGCGCGCGCGCCGCCGCGGGCGAAGCGTCGTGCGGGGGCTTCATCATGTTCGCCGCGGGCTCGGCCTGCTACTGCTGCGCCGTCGACGCCTTCGCTCCCTCCGCGGCGCCGACGTACCCCATCCCGTCGCCGAACCCGACGCCGCTGACCCTCGCGTGGTCGACGCGGCCGCACAACTGCTCCGCGACGGGCGCGATGCTCCGCCCCCACAAGGTCTTCGCCGGGGGGCTCTACACGGTCGTCGTCGGCGCGCCGGACGCCGTCGCCTACGACGTGCCCGCGGGGCTCTCCGTCGCCGACGTCGACGGCGCCGCGGCCGTGCATTTCGAGGGCGAGACGTACCCGCTGATGGCGATCTTCGGCGGCTCGGTGAGCAAGCTCTGCCCCTTCGACGCCCAGAACGTGACGTGCTTCCCCGGCGCGCTCGCGGCGCCCGTCGGCAACAACGCGGCGCCGTCCGTCGCCGCCGTCGTCGGGACGAGCTACCACTACGCGTACCGCCCCGGCGCGCCGAACGCCGACGGCGTCTTCTACCGCGCGACGGGCATCTACGGCCTCGCCCCGACGCTCGACGTCGCGAGCGACGCGTTCGCCGTGTCGTCGGCGCTCTTCGACGGCGCCGTCGGCGACGTCGCGGCGCTGGTCGAGGACGGCGACGACCTCATCGTCGACGGCGTCGCGCGCGCCTACCTCGTGGGCCTCGGCTGCGCCTACGAGGCCTTCGTCGTGCGCCTCGACGCCGCCGGCGCGCCGGAGGCCTACGCCGTCGTCGCGTCGGCCGTGGACTGGAACGGCGGGCCGCCGGGGGCCGCGAGCCCGTGCTTCTCCGCGGCGTTTACGGTCGACGGGGACCGCGCGGTCTTCCAATCCGACGACGGCGACGGGCTCTTCGAGCTGGCGACGCCGCTCGTCGTCGACGACGCGTGCTGGAACACGGGATCGGGCGGCCACGTCGCCTGCGCCGGCGCGACCGTCGTCAGGCGGGCCGCCGCGGGGCCCGCGGCCGGCGACGGCTTCGCGTGCGCGGACGCGGCGTCGAACCTCCCGACGACGAACAACCCGACGGCGGCGCCGTCGACGGCGACGCCGACTACGCTGACGCCCTCGCCGCCGCCCACGCGCGCGCCCTCGTCGCCCCCGACGCCCGGCCAGGGCCTCGACATCGTCACGGAGGTCGTCCCCTTCGACTGCGGCGCGCACAGCAACCCCATCCAGGTGCTCAAGTTCGCGCTCGCGGACACGAAGCACTACGTCATGGAGCTCAACCTCGACACGGGCGAGTACGAGGAGCTCTACAACTTCGAGGTCGCCAAGGTCAACGGCTACGCGACCGTCAACGCGGCCGCGGTCTTCGACGCGGGCAACAACTCCTTCTACCCCTTCGCGAACTTCAACGACGAGCTCTGCGTCTTCAGCGCCAACGCGCGCACCTGCGTCGGCGACTTGAAGGTCTCGTCGGCGAGCTCGGGGGCCATCGTCGGCGACACCTACTACTACGCGTGCGCGACGTGCGGCGCCGAGAACATCGGGCCCCAGTGGATCTACACCGTCTTCTCCATCGGCCAGCCGGCGCCCGTCTTCTCGGAGCGGAGCGACCTGATCCTGCGCCTGCGGCGCGAGCTCTGGTACGAGGCGTCGTCCAAGGGCAACATCTACGACTGGGCGTCGCTCGTCGAGGGCGGCGCGGAGCTCGTCGACGACGACGACGCCTCCGGCAAGTACCTCATCGGCATGAACCCCAAGGTCACGAAGATCGTCGTCGTCAAGATCGACGAGGCGACGGGCCAGGCCGGGTCCTACGCCGTCATCCCCGTCGAGACGGACTGGAACGGCCAGACGCCCGTGTCGGGCTGGTCGCGGCGCAACGGCGGCTCGAGCCCGTTCGGCGCCGCGTTCACCTACCAGACCGACGACTACGACCGCGTCTTCTTCACGTCCAACGACGCCTGGGGCTTGTTCGAGCTCGAGCTGCCCTTCCGCGTCAACGCGGACTGCTGGAACAGCGGCCTCGACAACTCCGCGCACGTGACCTGCAGGGCAGGACAAGAGAGCGAAATTCCCAACTTCAAAGGCTCCTTTCTCGGCCGTTTTCCACTCGTTTCGGCTGATTCTTGGACGAGCGATCATCTCTCGGAACGGTCTCGAAGCGTGAATGCTTTCTCCGGGACGCGCGCGCGCGGAACACTCACGTTAAAGCGACGTTGAATCACCCTTATGCTGCCCAGGTGACCTGCCACGCGGGCCGCGGGCCCGCGGCGTGGATCACGTACCGCATGAAGTCCGAGGAGACCTACTACAACGACGGCATGAACTGCCACCCCTACCGCGTCGCCATCGACGAGACCCTCGCGCCCGCGGCGACGTTCCGGCCGACGACCACGCCCTACCCGAGCCGCGCGCCGTCGACCGCCGCGCCGTCGACGGTCCGGCCGTCGTCCGGCGAGCCGTCGCGGGCGCCGTCGACGGCCGAGCCGTCGGCGTCGCCGACGACGCTCACGCGGTCCTCGCCCGTGGACGTCGGCAGCGACGACGACGGCGACGACGACGGCGCCGTCGACGGCGACGACGCGGCCGTCGCTCCGACGCCGTCCCCGACGGCGGCCGTCGTCGCGCCGACGGCGGCGCCCGCGCCCGCGCCGACGTTCCTCGCGAGCGACTGGGACCTCTACGCGCTCGCGAACTGCTCGGACCCGACGGCGGCGCCGTCCGTCTTCCCGTCGCCCGCGCCGTCGCCGGGCCCCACGACGGCCGCGCCGTCGCTCCGCCCCACGACGAGCGCGCCTTCTCTGTGCCCCTCGCTCCACCCGACGCTGACCGTGCCGGATCCGACGCTCGCGCCAGTGTCGAGCGACAGGAGTGTTTTTTCGCGTGAATTTCGCCTGAAGATGTGAAGAAATCCGACCCCGTCGCACTTGGTAGGCTCGCGCCCACGCCCGCGCCGAGCCTCGTGCCGACGTACACGCAGCCGCCCTCGCGCGCGCCGTCGACTTCGTCACCGTCGTTCGGGGACCCCGCGTGCCTGCCGCACCCGCTCGAGCTCAACTTCTCCGCCGCTACGGTCGCGCGAGACGGCAACGCGACGGTGTTCCAGGGCGCGGGGCGCTGGGACGATGTGTCCGTGGACGTCGCCGTCGCCGCCGCGGACGGCTCGGAAGTCGCCGCCGGCGTCGTCGACGCCTTCGCCATTATCGACGTCCCCAAGGGCGGAAGCCAGGCGTTGACGCTCAGCTTCTCGTCGGGCGGCGTGCCCCTCGCGGTGGGCTCGTTGTACCTCACGTTCGTCGACGTCGACGCGTCGACGGCGGTCTCCGAGGTCGTCTGCGTCGACGGCGCCGACGCCGTCGTCGCCGTCGGCGCCGCGGTCGACGCGACCGCGTCCGCTTTCGCCTGCGACGGGGGCCCGGGCGCGTCGACGTCGTTCGCGTCGACGGCGCAGGGCTTCGACTGCGACGACCCGTCGGACCCCTACGACCTCGACGGCGCCGTCGCCTGCGCGGGCTGCTTCGACGGGTCGGCCTGCGGCGCCCTCGGCGACCTCTTCCCCGTCGTGCCGCGCGACCGGAGCGCCATGGTCGCCTTCGTGACGCCGCGGAGCTCCGTCGACGTCGCGCTGTCGGCGCCGTGCCCGTCCTGCAGCGCCGCCGAGCGCTCCGCGACGCGCGCCTTCCGCGTCGCCGGCGGCTCGTCGCTCTCGGGCTGCGCGCCGTCCGCGGCGCCGACGACGTCGACGGCGCCGCCCTCCGGTGGGCCGACGCCGTCGCCGTCGACGCTGCCCCCGTCGTCGTCCGCGCCCTCCCTCCGACCGTCGCCGCTCCCGACGGCCGCGCCGACGCCCGAGTGCCCGGCGGGCGCGTGCCTCTACGCCGTCGTCGTCGACGCGGACGCGTTCGAGGACGCGGGCGTCGCCATGAGCCTCTGGGTCGACCACTACCTCGACGGCGCGCCGACGCCCAGGGGCGAGGCGCTCGTCGACGTCGCCGTGCCGGCGACGGACACGACCCACGTCTGCCTCGCGGACGGCTGCTTCACGGCGCGCTTCGACTTCTCGCGAAAAACTCCAGCGGGCCTCGCCTTCGAGGTCCGCTCGTCGGGCCGCGACCTCGTGCAGAAGCTCAAGGCCGCGAACGCGTCGACGATCCAGCGCTACTACTTTTGCGTCGAGAGCTGCCAGGTCGAGGCCTACCCGACGGCCGCGCCGACCTACACCGCGGCGCCGTCGCGCGCGCCGTCCGCGTCGCCGACGACGGCGCCGCCGTCGTCGCGTCCGTCCTTCGCGCCGTCGCCCGCGCCGTCGCCCGCGCCGCTGCCCGCGCCGACGGTGCCGCCGTCGCCGTCGCCGTCCTTTTTGCCGACGCCCTACCCGTCGCCGGAATGCGCCCCGCCGTCGAACACGTTCGCGGCGGAGTTCCTGCCGTCCGGCGCGGCCTGGGCCAACGTCACGGCGTCCGTCTACGTCGGCTCCTGGGACGACGAGCGCGACGAGGCCGCGAACCCGCTCATCACGCGGCTCTCGCACCCGTTCCCCAACGTCGACTATTTGTGCATCGTGTCCGGGTGCTACACGCTCGTCTTCGAGATCGACGGCGCCGCCGAGGGCCTGTCGTTCACGATCTCGTCGGAGAGCGACTTCGAGCACATCAGCCTCGACGGGACCCAAGGCACGGAGGTGACGGCGATCGGCACGAACCTCCTCGCGCTCTGCGCCGACGGCCCCATCTTCGACCACTCGCCGTCGTCCGCGCCGACGGTCACCACACCGCCGTCGTTCGCGCCGATCCCCCGGGCGACGTTCCCGCCGCTCCCCGCGCCGTCGCCGCCGCCGACCTACGACCCGACGCGCGCGCCGACGGCCGAGGTCCCGCCGCCGCCGACGGCGCCGCCGTCCGCGGCGCCGACGCTCGCCGCGGACTGCCGCAACGTCGTCCGCCTGAACTTCGCGGGCGCGGACGTCGCCCTGAGCAACCTCGACGGGTCGAACCCCTTCTTCCCCGCGGAGCTCCGGCTCGCGAACGTCGGTATACGCGCGAACGGCCGGCCCTTCGACGTCGTCGTCGCCGTCGAGGGTTCCTACGGCGGCGTCGGCGGCGTCGACGGCGACTTCCTGACGCTGACGGTGGACCGGGGCGCGTCGACGACGTTCGCCGTGCGCTTCGAGGATTCGGCCACGGGCAACCCCGCGGACGTGCACCCGCTCTACGTGACGCTCGTCGACGTCGACGGCCTCGGCGACGTCTCCGAGGCCGCGTGCCTCGAGGCCGCGGACTTCGACGGCTACGTCTTAGGCGACGACGTCGCCGCGACGTCGACGAAGACGACGTGCGACGGCCTCGCCGCGGGCGCGTCGACGACGTTCGCGTCGACGGCCGACGGCTACGGCTGCGACGACCCGTCGGACGCCTTCGACCTGGGGGTCGTCACCTGCGAGGCCTGCTACGGCGTCGATGCCTGCGCGTCGTCCCAGGCGGCGGGCTTCCCCGTGGACCAAGCCGCGCGCGCGGTCATGTGGGCCTTCACCGCGCCGCGGTCGTCCTTCGACGTCGTCCTCTCGGCGCCCTGCCCGGGCTGCGCGGCCTCGTCGGCGACGCGGACGTTCAAGCTCGCCGGCGCGTCGTCGCTGGCGCCCTGCCTCTCCGGGCCGTCGGCCGCGCCGTCGGGGGGACCGGCGCCCGCGCCCTCGTCGTCTCCCGTCGTCGCGCCGACGCCGCGGCCCACGCCCGCGCCGACGGCCACACCCGGCGACCCGACCGCGGCCCCGATCTTGCCGTCCCCGCGCCCGTCGTCGGCGGCGCCGTCGGCGCACCCCGCGCCGGCGCCCACGGACGTTCCGTCGCTCGCGCCGACGCCCGCGCCGACGGCGCTGCCCGCGCCGGGCCCCTCGACGCCCCCGACGCCGGCGCCGTCGCTGGCCTGCGACGCGTGCCGCGTGTCGCTCCGCTTCTCGCCCGACGCGGACGCGTGGGCCGGCGTCGCCGCGACGCTCGAGACCGCCGCCGGCGAGGCCGTCTTCGCCGTCGACGGCGACCGCGCGGACCTGCTCTGGACCTGCGTCGACGCCGACGGCTGCTACTCGTTCTTCTTCGAGGCCGACGAGCCCGCGCCGGGCAGCGCGCTCATCCTCGAGTCGTCCGAGGGCGTCACGTTTGCCGTCCTCGGCGACGGGACGTCGGACCGCTACGACTTCTGCATGGACGGCTGCGCCTTCGACCACGCGCCGACGCCCGCGCCGTCGGCGGTTCCGTCGCCCGCGCCGTCGGACTACTGGGCGACCTGCCAGGACGCGGCCTACGAGATCCACGTCGCCGGGCGCGTCTCCGGGAACAATCTCGGCGGAATCGGGCCCGACGGCGGCGACCCGGTGCTGCGGTATGCTTCCGTGACCGAGAAGGACGGGCGTGACGTCGACCTCGTCGTGAGCGTCGCCGAGGGTTACGACTACGCCGCCGCCGACAATTTCGCTACTTACCATGCCATGTGAAGCGGGATGGTAGTCTCATGTCCCGGCACTAGTGCCCGGCGGCCGGACCACGGTTGTGGCACTCGCCGAGCCGGAAGCCCCGGACGTAGAGCGCGAGATGCGGGACGCTGCACTCCGCGAGGTCGTCGTCGTGGGCGGCGCAGAAGTCGTAGACGGCCTTGGAGTCGCCATAGTTCGGCTGGGTGTCGGAGTAGACGCCGTCCCAATACTCGCCGGCGCTCGTCATCGAGGTCGAGCTCCCGACGAGGTCGTCGAGCGCGCCGTCGCCGAAGACGGCGCAGACGCGCCTCGCGCCCGACGGCGCTTCGAAGGCCTCGAGGCAGGCCAGGAGCGCCTGCGCGTACATCGTGCCGCCGACGGCGTTCGCGCGGTAGTCGCGGTGCAGCTCGAGGAGGGCGTCCTCGACGCCGCGCAGCGCGTCGCGCTTGCGGACGCGCGACCACGCGGCGCGCGCGACGCGGAGCGACGCGCCGGGCGCGAGCCGCGCCGCGACGTCCGCGACGAACGCGTTGACGCCGTGGACCAAGGCACACGCCCGTCACGGTGTGCGTCTCCTTGAGGTCGTAGGCGATCCACTGGTCGGTCGTCTGCCTGGCGTACCAGCCCCCGTCCTCATCGTACTCACCGTCGAGCGTGTTCCTGCAGTTGTACTCATCTGCGTACTGCGACGAGACCGAGCACGCGTCCGCGTCCGGGAGCAGCTCGCAGCACCTGGCTCGGCTCGCCAAGGAACCCCCCTGGGGGATAAGCGGGGGGAGGAACTCGCACTGATCCGAGACGCCCTCGGCGAAGAGCGCGGCGCGGAAGCCGACGATGAGGGCGATCATGGCGCTCATGGTGGCGATCTTCATGGCCTGGGAAGATGCGAGGGGGGTCGCCGAGACGCCCGGGCGGCGACCGAGCGCGCGAAACCGAGGCCCCCGGCGCTCCGACCTTTTCGGCGGGCGACGGCGTTCGGCGCTCGCCCCGGGCCCCGAGACGTTCGGTCGATGGGTACTCCCGGAGCGTTTGGGACTTCGGAGGGGGGGGGCGGGGCTCGAGCGCGTCCAGAGGCGCCGCGGCGCGCGACGTCTAGAGTTTCGATTATGGCTTGAATTTTGTGACGACCGCCTACCCGCGCCCACCTTGGGCCCGGGCGGGCGCGGGCACTGGGGGGGGGCACTAAAGCCGCCGCGGCACCGGACCCCGGGGTCGCTCCTCTTGAGGGGCCGGGATCGTCCCTGTTGCAGGGGCACCAGACGTCCCTGGCGCGGAGCTTGGCTCCTGACGCGGCCCGCGGAGATGAATCTCGCCGCATCGGACGATCGGCTGACGCCCGGTGCGCACCGGTGCGCCGGCCTGCCCTGGTGCGGTCGAGCCGCTGCTTATGCATCGACTTCTCGTTCTCGAGGCTCCCGGCGCTTGCCTCGATCCCTCCCCCCCCGGAAAAAAGAAGCCCCCCCCCCCCCCTTCACTTGAGTCCCCCGGCGACGTGGCCGTCCCAGGGCCGGGAGACGTTGTTGAGCGCGTAGGCGGACTCGTCGACGCCGATGTGCGCGAGCGTGACGCGGGGCAGGTAGGCGACGCGGAGGCCGGCGTCGCGCGCCTTGAGGGAGAAGGACCGCTCGAACTCGGCGTCGTCCGGGTCGAAGACCGGCGCCTCGCCGAGGACGTCGAAAAAGGCGCAGGCGAGCGCGCGGAGGTCCCAGAGCGCCGGGTTCAGCGTGAAGCCCGGCCAGTACGTGAACGCGTGGCCGGGCTCGACGGTGCCGAAGTCGTGGAGCCGGTAGGCCACGCCGCCCGGCGTGGCCCGGGGCCAGCCCGCGGCGCCGACCGCGTCGCACCCGTCCCGCGCCGCGTAGGCGCACGCCCGGCTCGACTGGTCGTTGAGGAGCACCTGGACGAGGGGCTCGGCCGCGGCCTCGAGCACGGCGAGGGCGTCGCCCACAACGTCGCGCGGTGCCGCGCCGTCGACCGCGAGCCAGTCGTCCTCGAGGTAGAGGAGGTACGGCGTCTCGACGACGCGGAGGAGCGCGTTCATGCTCCGCGCGTGGCCCTTGTGCGCGGGGCTCTTGTAGAGAAAGTCGAAGGCCGGGAACGCCGCGGCCATGGCCGCGCGGTCCTCCGGCGACGACGCGTCGTCGACGACGACGACGCGGCAGACCGCGCCGTGGCGCGCGACGTCGCCGACGGCGAGCGCGCGCGCGAGGCCGCGCATCGTCGCCTCGAAGTGGCGGCGGCGCTTGCAGGTCGTGACGCCGATCGTCACGTTGCAGCCCCGCGGCGCGCCGGGCGGCGGCGGCGGCGCGCCCCAGCCCCGGCGCGCGCCGGCGCCGCCGCGCGCGCACCGGCCCGCGCCCGCGGCGGCCTCGGGCCCGCGGCGCCTCGCGGCCGCGACGGCGTCGCGCGCGAAGCGCGCCGCGAGCCAGGGCGCGCCGCCGTGGCCCGGGAAGCGGCGCTTGAGCTCCGCGGCGACCTGGTCGACCGCGCCGTCGTCGAGGCCCCGGCGGAGCGCGAACCACGCGGCCGCCTGGTGGAGGTCGTCGCCCTCGCGGACGTCGACGGCCGCCGCGGCGCCGCCGGGGAGGGAGAAGGGCGCGGCGCCGAGGGACCGGGACCCGCCGCCGTTGGCGCCGTGCTGGAGCAGCGCCGCGAGCCAGCGCCGCTTCACGTCCTCGGCGCCGATGTGGTCGCCGAGCGATTCCGCGACGGCCGCGGGGTCCTCGCCGTCGCGCACGGCGACGAGGTAGTGGGTCTCGACGCCCGTCTTGGGGTCCGGGTGGTTGAGCTTGACGGCGTAGGCGCAGCGGGACACGTCCGGCGCCGCGACGGCCCCGCCCGGCGCGAGCTCCCACCCGAAGTCCCGCGGCGCGTAGCCCGGGGCGCCGGCGGCGGCGAGGGCCTCGCGCGCGAAGATCGCGCGGCGGCCGGGGCCCGCCGGCCGCGGCGCCGCCGCGACGTGCGCGAGGAACGCCTCCCACTCGCGCGTGACGCCGTCGTTCTCGTAGAGGACGCCGCGGCGCTCGAGGATCCGCGCGCGGATTTGCGCGGAGTCGAATTTCGCGACGCGCACCGCGGCGGCGACGAAGGCCTCGGGCGTCTGCGTCACGCAGGCGGGGCAGGGGTCGCCCATGAGCTCGTACATGCCGCGCGTGAGCTGCAGCACGGACGTCCGCGGCTCGAGGAGCACGATCGGCGTGCCCGTGGACAGGATCTCGAGCGACGACCGGCCGCCGCCGACGGGGAAGGGGTCGAGGACGACGTCCGCGAGCTGCGCGAGCTTGACGAACTCGCGGAAGTCGAGGCGCCGGAAGAAGACGACGCGCGCGCGGACGTCCTCGGGGATGGACCGCGCCCACCGGTCCGCGAGCGCGGCCGTCCACTCGCCGAGCTGCGCCTCGGGCATGGCGACGAGCGCGTCGCCGTCCTCTCGTAAAACGCCGGCGATGAGGGCGTCGAAGTCCGGGTGGAGCTTGTAGAGCGTCTGGGGCACGAGGTAGAGCCTCCGCCGCGGCGCGGCGATGACGTCCGCGATCTCCAGGTCCGGGTCCGGGTCCACGGGCCAAGGGAAGCGCGTCGTCAGGCCCTCCATGAGCCAGAGCGTCTCGCTGTAGTCGTCCTGGCCGCCGGCGGCGTCGCCCCGGGCCTCGAAGAGCTCCGACGACACGAAGTAGTCGACGCCGCCGGCGGCGCCGGCCGCGCCCGCGGCCTCGCCGTCGGACCGCGCGACGCCCGACGTGACGGCGTGGCCCCAGAAGAGCGCGCTGCGCCGCGCGAGGCGCGCAAAGGTCAGGAAGTAGGTCATCGTGTTCATGCCGACCTCGCAGAACACGAGCACGTCGAGCTCGAGCGCCGCGACGGCGCGCCGCGCGGCGTCGAGCGAGCCCGCGGGGACGCGCGCGTAGACGTCGGCGGCGCCCCGGAGCTTCGCCGTGAGCTCGTCCTCGGGCTCGCCGGCGACGTGGAGCACGGCGACGGTGAACCGGGACCGGTCGAGCGTCTCGACGACGCCCGCGGTCAGCAGGCCGACGCTGTGCGTGAAGAAGAAGGCCGACAGGAAGCCGACGCGGAGCTTGCCCGGCGCCCGCGGCGCGTCGAGGAAGGGCGCGCGCCAGGCGAGGTCGCTTCGCGCGCCGCGCCAGTAGACGCGCGCGAGGAGCCGCCGCGGCGGCCTGGGCAGGAAACGGGTGATTCAACGTCGCGTCAACGTGAGTGTTCCGCGCGCGCGCGTTCCATAAAAAGCATCCACGCTTCGAGACCGCTCCGAGAGATGATCGCTCGTCCTAAAATCAGCCGAAACGAGTGGAAAACGGCCGAGATCGGAGCCTTTGAAATCGGGAATTTCGCGCCCTTTTCCTGCTCTGGCGGCGGCAGGTCCGCGTAGCCGACGTACTCGAGGTAGTAGCCCAGCGCCCCGGAGCCCGTGCTGTGGAGCGGGTCCACGATGCGCAGCGTCGGCGCGCGCAGGAGCCGCCGCAGGGCCTCCGTGTAGGCGACCCAGACGCGGTCCATGTGGTCGCCGTCGTCGTAGATGTGCGGCAGGACCTACCGAGGGGACCGCGCGGTCGGGAGGCGACGACGACGGAAAAAGCCGGCGCGCCGGGGGGACGCGCGGACGTGGCGAGCTGGAGGCGCACGCTGTCCGCGTGGTCGCGGCCCTCGCCGCCCGGCGCGAGCGCGATCGCGAGCGCCTCCTCGTAGAGCGCGCGCGCTCCCGAGATGTTGCCGCGGTAGCCCTCGTGGTGCGCGAGGGACGCGACGGGCTGGAAGACGCCGACGCCGAGGTCCCGCGCTTTGCGCCAGAGGTCGACGGCGCCGGAGACGTTGCCGAGCCTCTGCTCGATGAGCGCGACGTTGTGGAGCATGGGCACCGAGTTCGGGTCGAGCTCGAGGCCCCGGCGGCCCGCGGCGAGCGCGCCGCCGAGGTCGCCGACGTCCCGGAGCTGGATGGCGTAGTTGCCCGCGGCCTGCACCGACGTCGGGTCCCGCGCGAGGGCCTCGCGGAGCACGGCGACGGCGGCCGCGTGGTCGTCGACCGCGTCGAGCGCGAGCGCGTAGTCGTTGAGCAGGCCCAGGCGCCCGAGGCAGGGCCCGGCGCAGCCGTCGGCGGCGGCGGGCGACGCGAGCGCCGCCGCGTAGGCGCCGCGGGCCGCCGCGGCGTCGCCGAGGTCGTAGTGGCGGAGCCGCGCGAGCGCCGCCGCCGCGTGGCCGTGGGCCGCGTCGCGCGCGAGGCACGCCTCGAAGGCCGCCGCGGCGTCGGTCTTGCGGCCGAGGCTCGCGAGCACGACGCCGCGCGTGTGCTCCGCGTGCGCGGCGCGGCTCGCCGCGCAGGCGCCGCCGGCGCAGAGGCCGCAGGCCGCCTCGGCGGCCGCGAGGGCGGACGCGAAATCGCCGCGCTCGTGCGCGGCCGCCGCCGCGGCGAGGCGCTCCCGGGCGGCCTCGTCCTCGCCGCTGCACAGCGCGGGCAGCGCCAGGAGCCACAGCGCGACCGCGAGGCAGCCCATCGCGGCGCTCCACGGCAGCGTGCTTTTTGACAGCACCTTGAGGGATCAACTCACCTGTCACGATCCATATATATATGCGTGAGTTGTGCGTGCCGGTTCCCCCGCCGTACGGAAATTAAATGGCTGTCGTCGCGCGAGCGGTGCAGAGGGAAGCATTGACACGGGAATGAGTGGCTCAGCTCGCGCGAGCGCGCCCGAAGGGCGCGCTCTCGCCGCGCCGCAGGCAAGCCCCCCCGGCAGGGGCAAGATGCCGTAGGCGTCTTGTTATATATAGGCGTGATCCCCGCAGCCCCGACCATGGTGCGCGACGAGGAGGTGCGCAACGACCCCTACAGCATCGAGCAGCGGAACACGGACCAGAAGTACGAGGGCCTCGCGACGCAGATCATCGCCGCGCACGGGAGCATCGGCAAGAACCTGCGGCGCAAGGACAAGACGCTCATCACGATCACGAAGCGGCGGAGCACGTTCCAGGACTCGATCACGCGCTGGAACCAGGTGCTGAGCGACCACCTGGGCCTCGCGCACAAGCTCGAGCGGGACGTGCCCGGCCAGGACGCGCGCCAGAGCCGGAACCGGACGCTCAACGACCACGGCCTCCGCATCGCCGGGACCAAGGCCGAGGCCGCGGACCTCTACGGCGAGATCCGCCCGGAGCACTTCCACATGCCGACCTGCGCCAAGGCCAACGGCGGCGCGAAGAACAAGCTCACGAAGGAGGGCTTCAAGGCCTCGGGCGACTCCAAGTTCCAGCCGCGCGAGCTCTCCATGTACCGCAAGCTCTTCCAGGAGATCATCGACTGCACGCAGGACCAGGTCACGGGCCTGAGCGACAAGGCGTCGCAGGAGCGGGAGGCGCCACCGCCCGAGGAGGGCGCCGAGGGCGGCGACCGGGCCCCGGGCCGCGCGCGCGAGAAGCGCGGCGCGCTGCAGCGCGGCACGTCGTCCAAGTTCTTCGGCGACCTCGTCATGGAGGGCGCCGAGGGCGAGGGCGCCGCGTCCGACGAGCTCGACGCCGAGGGCCACGTCGTCATCAGCGGCCACATGAAGGAGGAGGACCTGCCCACGGGGCCCCAGAAGGAGTTCCAGGAGAACTCGCTCCACCGCGCGGACTTCGAGGCCTACCTGCGGACGCGCGTGTCCGTCGGCGAGCGCGACGGCCGCCGCGCCTCGGAGCTGCTCGGGGGCTGGCGCCCGGCGAAGATCAAGCGCATGCTCGGCAACACCTACGCGCACATCAAGCTCGACGACGGCTCCATCGTCACGCACGTGCACAAGCTCCAGATCCGCAAGCGGACGCGGAGCCTGAGCACGGTGCACGCGGCGCTCAAGGACAAGGTGGAGGACGACAAGGTCGTCCAGCACAAGGGGTCCCTGTACAAGGACCACAGCGCGCCCTTCCGGTCCGAGGACCCCGTCGACGTCTGCGTCGACGGGACGCTCCCGCTCGTCTGGGGCCGCGTGCGCCACGGCGTGGCGACGATGCGCGGCGAGTTCATGACCTTCAACGACTTCATCGAGATGCAGATCAAGTACTGCAAGGCGCTCACGGCCCACACGCGCATCGTCCTCAGCGGCATGGACGAGGACTACTTCGTCTCGCACTACCCGTGGTGGGAGCCGCTCCTCAAGACGGTCCTCAAGAAGCGGCCCGGCGGCGGCGACACGTTCGGCTGCGCCGCGCCGACCTGCGGCTTCGGCGTCTAACTAGTCCGCGCCGGGGTAGCAGGGCCCGCTCCAGGCGACGCGCGCGAACGCGGGGCGCGCGCGGTCATCGCGGCGGCGCCACGCGCGCGCGAGCGCGGACCCGATGAGGGAGTGGGCCGTCGCCGAGAGGGCGCCGGGCAGCGCCGCCGCCGGGGGCAGGCCCGCGGAGCCCGCGAGGACGACGGCGAGCGCGGAGTTCTGCATGCCCGTCTCGATGGACACGGTCCGCCGCGCGGCGGCGGGCAGCCCCGCGAGCGCCGCGGCGCGGTAGCCCAGCGCGAAGCCCAGGGCGTGGAGCGTGACGACGGCGCCGCATAGCCGGAGGAGCAGGGGCGCCGGTAGGGGCGCCGCGGCGGACGCGGCGACGACGGAGCCGCAGATGAGCGCGACGAGGACGACGGCCGCGGGCGCGAGCGCGGGCTCGGCGGCGTCGCAGGCCTCCGGGAAGGACCGGCGCAGGAGGAGCCCGCCGAGGACGGGCAGCAGCACGACCTTGAGCGTCGACGCCGCGAGCGCGGAACGGCACACGGCCGCCTTCGCGCCGACGCACAGGCTCGCGAGCGCGGGCGTCAGGGCCGCCGCGGCCAGCGTCGACGCCGTGGTCATGGAGATGCTCAGGGGCACGTCGGCGCGCGCGATGAGGCTCACGAGGTTCGACGCCGTGCCGCCGGGGCAGCACCCGACGAGGCAGACGCCCGCGGCGAGCGCGGGCGGCAGCCCCCAGAGCCGCGACGACGCGACCGACGCGGCGGGCATGATGCCGAACTGCGCGCAAAAGCCCACGAGCACCGCGGACGGCCGAGCGGCGACGCGCGCGAAGTCGGCGGTCGTGAGGGTCGTGCCCATGGCGAGCATGATGAGCGCCAGCGCGGCCGTGACGAGGTCCGGGCCCATCCAGCCGAAGACCGCGGGCCCGACGGGCGTGCCGCCGACCAAAGCCGCGCCGGCGACCCAGGCGGGAAACGCGTCCGTGATGGACGCGCTGAGGTCCGCGGTCCTCGCGGCGCGGAGCGCGAGCGGCGACGTGCGCTGCAGCGGCGACGTGCGGAGCGCGAGCGGCGACGTCGGTTGCAGCGGCGCGCGGAGCCGATGGCGCGGCGGCGCGCGGAACGCGGCGCACCCGCGCAGCGATGCGATCACAAGTAATACGTAGTGGCGCATCGGGCGGCGGTGCAGGCCTGCACTTTTCTCTTTTGTCGGCTACGGTAGGCGCGAGAGCGCGAGCGTGCGACAGAGCTCAGCGCTGCGAGTGCAAGCATCAACCTGCACTGATCGAGCAGACTACTACTAGCGGTTTGCTCGCGCCGCAAACGATGATCATTCCCGACTCCGTTTAGGGCTGCCCTCGCTCTTAACGATGCGCATGCTCGCGCTGCTGTCCCTCGGCGCGGTCGCCGACGACTGCGCCCACGAGTCCGTCAACTTCCGGCTGCTCCTGGGCGACGAGACGGGTTTCATGCGCTACCCGGCCTTCTGGGAGATGGCGCCGGCGTCGGACGTCGCCGAGGACCGCGACGGCTTCGGCGCGGTCGCCGCCGGCGACGACGGCATCGCCGCGTCGGGCAACGTGACGCTCGACGCCGGCACGGACTCGCCGCTCCCGCCCATCTGCGCGGCGCCGGGCGAGTACCACCTCACGGTGTCGCGGCCCGCGGCGTCCTGCGGCGCGGCCGTGGACGTCGTGAGCTGCGTCGTGCCCACGTCGCTGCCGACGCCGGGCCCGTCGCCCCTGCCCACGGCCGCGCCGACGCCCGCGCCGCAGACGCGCGCGCCGTCGCCGCGGCCGACGGCGACGCGCGCGCCGACGCCGCGGCCGAGCCCGACGCCGACGCCGCGGCCGTCGCGGCCGCCGACGCCGGCGCCGACGCCGGCGCCGTCGACGGCGCCGCCGTCGGCGACGCCGACGGCCCGGTGCCTGCGGGACGCGCTCGTCGAGGAGGGCACGTGCACGTCCGCGGGCTGCGCGGTCACGAACGTGCTGAACATCCCCGGCTACGACGCGTCGCGGTGCCTCGTCGAGGAGGCGCGCCTGACGGCGACCTTCGGGGGCGACCTCGACGGCGACGCGTCGACGACCCTGGCCGTCGCCGCGAGCCTCGGGGCTCTGGAGGGCGCGCCCGCCGTCGGCGCCTGCGCGGGCTTCGCCGGCGGCGACGCGTGCGCGGGCGCGCTCCAGGGCTGCGCGGCGACGACGGACGTCGACGTGTCGCCGTCCCTCGAGGACTCGTCGACGCTCGTCGTCTCCGCCGCGAGCTCCGCGGCCGTCGACGACTGCGGCGCGGGCCGGCCGGCCTTCCGCGTCCGCGCGGCGCTCAACTACACGATCTGCTGCAACGCGCCGTCGGCGCCGCCGACGCCCGCGCCGTCGCGCGTCCCCTCGACGCCGCCGTCGCCCGCGCCGTCCGCGCGGCCGTCGCCCGCGCCGTCGACGGGGCCGTCCCGGTCGCCGACGCGGCGCCCGACGGGCCCGACGCCGCGGCCGACGGCGGCGCCGACGACCGCCGCGCCGACGAGGGCGCCGACGACGGCGCCGACGCGCGCGCCCGTCGCGCCGACGCGCGCGCCGTCCGCCGCGCCCTCGGCGGCGCCGAGCTACGCGCCGACGGCCGCGCCGACGGCCGAGCCGAGCTTCCTGCCGACGCGCGCGCCCTCGGAGCTGCCCACCGTCGGGCCCTCGGCGCCGCCGAGCCCCGCGCCGACGGCCGGGCCCTCGCGGTCGCCGACGGCGCCGCCGACGTCCGCGCCGACGAGCGCGCCCTCGGCGCTCCCGTCGTCGCCGCCGACGGCGCCGCCCACGTCCGTCCCCACGGCCGCGCCCTCCGGCGCGCCGTCGCGGTCGCCGAGCCCCGCGCCGTCGCGCGCGCCGACGCCCGCCGTCGTGGAGCCCACGGCCGCGCCCGCGCCCGCGCCCAGCGCCGCCCCGACGACCGCCGCGCCGTCGCTCCCGCCGACGCCCGGCGGCACGCCGACGCCGAGCCGCGCGCCCTACCCGAACCCGACGGCGTCGGACCCCTGCGTCGAGTACGACGCCGAGGAGATCGCCATGTGCTCGAGCTTCGCGTGCCAGACCATCAACAACTTCGTCATCGCCGGCTACGACGCGAGCCGCTGCGTCGTCCAGTCGGCCCTGCTCACGGTGTCCATCAGCGGCGACTTCGAGGGGGGCTTCGACCTCTACGACGACGAGGGGCTCTCGGGCGAGACGTCCGACGTCGCCGAGGCGGCCATCCTCTACCTCGACGACGTCGAGTACGCGACGTCGGACCCGTGCACGACGTCGGCGGAGTGCCTCGACGCGACGGGCGCGACGAACCTCAACGACTTCCGCGCGCCCGGCTACGAGACGTGCCCCCAGTTCGAAAACATCGACGTCACCGCGGCGTTCAACGACGACGGCGAGGTCGAGGTGACCACGGAGGGCACGGCGTCCGTCGACGCCTGCCAGAGCTTCACGAAGGGCCGCCTCGTCGCGACCTACTGCTGCTACAACCCGACGCCGAGCCCGACGCCGAGCCCGACGCCCGGCCCGACGACGGCGCCGTCGCCGCGGCCGACGCCGAAGCCGACGCCCGTCCCCACGCCGGCCCCGTCGACGGCCGCGCCGTCGACGGCGACCCTCGCGCCCGTGGGGCCGACGCTCGCGCCGACGTCGTCGGTCCCGTCCGCGGCGCCCACGGGCGCGCCCGTCGGGCCGACGACGACGCCGACGCCCGCGCCGACGCCGCGGCCGTCCCTCTCGCCGACCCCGCGGCCGTCGCCCGCGCCGTCGCGCAGGCCCACGCGCATGCCGTCGCCCGAGCCGACGGCGCCGCCCTCGACGACGGCGCCCACGGCCGGGTGCGTGGACACGTTCCGCGTCGTCGTCCGCGAGGACGACCTCGGCTGCGCGCTCTGGACCCGGGCGCCGACGCCGTCGACGCCGAAGAAGCGCGCCGTGGACTGGATCGAGCGGAGGCGCAACTACATGATCCTCGTGTGGATCCTCGTCGCGCTGCTCGCGTGCCTCGCGCTCTGCTGCGTCCTCGCGGTCTACGTCGCCTACGAGAAGCCCAAGGAGGCGCCGCCCCCGCCCCCGCCGAAGAAGAAGCGGCTCCGGAGCCGCATCGCGCCGCCGCCGTCGAGCTCGTCGAGCTCCGACGACGACGACGACGCGGCCGCGACGCCGCCGCGGCGCCGGCCGCCGCGGCGCCGCGAGCCCGACGACTCGGACTCGGACCTGCGGACGCCGGACTACGCGCCCTTCGTCGTCGACCACACGGCGCGCCGCACGGGCCCGCGCACGCGGAGCCTCTTCGACGACGCGCCGCCGCCGCTGCCGCCCTTCTCGCGGGGCCGCCGCGACGTCGTCTCGCGCGACGCCCGCGGCGCCATGCTCGACGCGCCGTCGACGGCGCCGCGGCCGCCGCGCGCGCCCTGGCGCGACCCCGAGCGCGGCTCGCGCCGGACCTCGCGCCGCCGCCACCCGCGGCGCTTCGGCGGGCCCGCGAACCGCGCGTCGTCGGACTCCGAGTCGGACTCGGACGCGAAGCCCCGGGCGGCCTACTCGCCCATCGCCCGCGACCGCGCGGACTTCTTCCGGTAAGCATGTATGAGGAGCCGGTGCATCGCGACATGCGACGAGTCCTTCAACGAGTAACGAAATAAACGTCAACGATATGCGCGTCAGTTTTGAGGCACCATGAAGGCCGAAGATTTGCATCGCGACGTGCTGCCCCACATTCGCAATGGTTCCGGGATCGCAGTGATGGCCGGCGGCTTCTGCGGGGCCGTGCGGGCCTGCGTCGGCAGCGGCTGCAGCCTGCAGGCCGACGAGGCCAAGGACGTGACCTACGGCGGCGAGGTGCGCGAGGTGTCCATGCTGCCGCCGGAGCCGGCGCCCGTCGCCGTGCCCGTCGTCGACGGCGACGACGACGGCAGCGTCGTCACGGCCGAGGCGAGCGCCGAGGAGCGGCGGCCCTCGAAGGACGCGCCGGCGCCGGCGGAGGAGCGCAAGGAGGAGCCCGCGGAGGACTCGGACGACGGCTCCGACGGCGGCGGCGGCGGCGGCGGCGGCGACGGCGACGCCGAGGCGGCGGCGGCGTCCGCGGAGTCGTCGCCGGAGACGCCCCAGCGCGTGAAGAAGAACCTGTCGAAGATGGGCTTCAAGGTCTACTCCGACGACGGGAGCGAGGGCGGCAGCAGCCCGCGGCCGAGCCTCGAGGGCCCGGGCGTCGCGCTGACCGAGTCCGCGCGGCGGCGCCTGTCGTCCATGTCGTCCATCGGCGAGGACGAGGAGGCGCACGAGGGCTACGCGCGGCACGCGCCGGCGGAGCTCGAGGGCCTCGGCGACGGCGCGGCGGCGCGGCGGCGCAGCAGCCTCGACGCCAAGGTCGCGAGCGCGCTCGCGCTCCGCGGCTCCGGCGGCTCCGGGTCCGCCATGGCCGCCGCCGCCGAGGGCGCGGCGATGACGGCGGACAACGAGCGGCGCCTCTCCGCCGCGGCGCCCGACGCCGAGCGGCGCCTCTCCGCGGGCCAGCTCCTCCTCCGGGACCCGTCGCGGCTCCGGCCGCGTCACCGTCGACGAGGACCTCTACGCGTCCTTCAACGCCCAGGCCTGCGCGGCGACGCGGCGCCACAGCCACGCCGTCGGCCTCGGGTCGACCATCGACGACTTCGGCGACGAGTACGACGCGGCGCGGCGCGACAGCGCGCGGTCCATCGAGCGGTTCCCGAGCGACCTGAGCGACGGGTCCGCGGCGCCCGTCGCCGAGATCCCGCCCTACGTCGCGCCGCCCGCCCGCGCTCCGAAGCTCGCGCCGCCGAGGCGCCGGGGCAGCGAGACGAAGCCCCTCATGGAGCGGCGGAGCGTGCGCCTCGCGGAGCCGCCCGGCGCCGACGCGCCGTCCGCGCCGACGTCGCGCGAGTCGTCGGGCGACGAGTGCGAGCGGAACACGCTCGCGAACATGCGCGCCAACAGCATCTACGGCATGACGCCCATCGGCAACCTCATGAAGCCGGACCGGCGGCGGAGCTCGCTCAAGCGGAAGCCCGCGGAGAGGGACCGGTCGCCCGAGGTGTCGCCGACGGTCCTGAGCCGCGACGCGCTCCAGCGGCACCACAGCGACATGGGCGTCGTGGGGGGCGTCATGAACGGCGACCGCCACGGGTCCGTGCCCTACATCCGGAGCAGCCTGAGCCGCCTCCTCGCGCGCGTGAGCATCCGCCAGTCCAAGGTCGAGGCGCCCCCGGAGGTGACGCCCAGGGCGGCGGCGCCGCGGGCGGCCCACCGCCACAGCTCCCCGGACCAGCTCCCCATGCTGCCCAAGGACCGGCGCGGGTCCGCGGCCCTGGACAAGGGCCTCATCATGATCCGCGCGCGCGTCTTCAGCCTCGGCCAGATCAAGATGGAGGAGCAGACCTTCACCTGCGGCTTCGACCTCCACGTCAAGTGGAGCGAGCAGGAGCCCGGCGACGTCGAGTGGGCCCAGAAGTTCCTCCGGGGCCGCATCGACCTCGAGGACCGGGCCGCGCCGCGGGGCTTGCGGTGGGAGCCCCTCGTGCGGTTCCCGAACGCGGTCACGGTGACGGAGCCCGACAAGGACCTGCGGCTCTACGACGTGAACCCGGAGAAGAAGTACATCACGCGGCGCTCCGTCATCCACGGCACGTTCAAGTGCCTCTACGACCTGTCGTCCTTCCCCTTCGACGTGCAGCAGCTCCGCATCGACGTGCAGCTCGGCCGCGAGATCCACACGTGCGCGGAGCTGCGGCTCCCGACGTACCGCATCGGCCACTGGCGCGGCGCGCCGAACGTGCTCATGCACCAGATCGACAGCGAGTTCGACTACCGGCCCATGCGCTACGTCGTCTGGACGTCGCAGATCCTCGAGACGCCGACGGTGCACTCGCGCTACTCCTTCGTCATCCCGGCGCAGCGGCGGTCCTACTTCTACCTCTGCAACTGGGTGCTCATCGTGCTCATGGTCCAGACCATGGCCTTCTCCGTGTTCCGCTTCTCGCCGAAGGAGCTCGAGACGCGCATCGGCACGACGGCGACGCTGTTCCTCGTCCTCGTGCAGTTCAAGCTCCAGATCACGGACAAGGCGCCGGCCCTGAGCTACCTCACGCTCTTCGACAAGTACCTGATCACGGCGGCCGTGTCCATCTTCGCGATCTTCATCGGGTCGGTCCTCCTCGCGCCCGTCGCGAGCATACTCCACGTCGGCGAGGACGCGCTCGACGCCTACCTCCAGGTCGCCATCGGCGCGACCTGGGTCTTCCAGCACTACTCCTTCATCGGCTCCGCGCGCCACGCGAAGCGGCACCAGCGGAGCCGCATCGCCGCCATGGGCAAGATCGACGACTCCATGGTCGAGCTCCTCCGGCGGACGAAGATCGACGTCAACGACGACGGCACGGTCAAGGACGAGGAGCGCTACAAGAAACTCATCAACAACTAGCGCGCGATGCGCGCGCCGCCCCCCCTGTGACCCCTCGATCTCGAGCCGGCGAAGCCGGCCTCGCTAAGGTGCCCTCTGTCGACGAGCTAGCTCCCGTCGAGACGCCGCCTTCTTAGAGCATGACCGTCTTCGGCGGCGACGGGTTCCGGGCGGCCGCGGCCGCGGGCGGCGGCGCCGGGCCGGGCGGCGCCGGCGGCATCGCCGGCGCGGCCGCGGCCGCGGGCGCGACGGCGGGGGGGCTCGGCGACTTCGCCGCGGGCGGCGGGGGCGCGGGCGGCTTCGCCGCGGGCGTCAGCGCCGGCGGCGCGGCGGGCGGCAAGGGCACGGCGAGCGTGACGTAGCCCTTGGCGATGTCGTTCTTGAAGTCGGCGCGCGACGCGCCGAGCGCGAGGAGCCCCTTGGCGGACGTCGCGGACTTGTAGCGCTCGTAGCGCGCGGCGGACTCGCCGCGCTTCGGGTTCGCGAAGGCGACCGTGAGCTTCGCGTCGTCGGCGATGAGCTTCGACACCTGCGCGGCCGTCGGCCCGGCCTTGGCCTTTTTTTTCGGCGCGGCGCCCGGCGCCGCGGGCTCCGACGACTTCTTCTTGCGCTTCTTCGGCGCCTTCTCCTTGGGCGCCGGCGCCTCGACGGTCGCGAGCTTCGCGGAGGACGACGCGAAGAAGCCCGCGTACTCCGTGGGCCTGGTCCGCGCGGCCGTGTCCCGCGTCTCGGCCGACTCGAAGACCTCGCTGTCGTCGATGAACGAGTCGTCGGACTCGTAGTACTCGAGGCCGCCCTCGTCGTCGCTGTCGCCGCCCAGGCCCGTCGCGAGCTCGCCGCCGCCGAAGAAGCGCTCGAGGCGCTCGACGACGTTGTAGCGGCCGCCGCGCGGCGCCGCCGCCGCGTTCGCCGCCGCCGCGCCGCCGGGCGCCGCGTCGTCGCCGGCGCCGAGGTCGACCTCGCCGGCCTCGTCCTCGGGCGACGAGTCCTCGTCGTCCTCCTCCTCCTTCTTCGCCTCGCTCTCCTTGGGCGCCGGGTCCACCTTGCGCCGCTTCTTGCCAAAGGCCTGCGGGAAGAGCTCGCTGAGCACGAACTCGTTGGGCCCGGACTTGTCGAGCGACAGGTTGAACGCGAAGCGCGTCGCCTTGGGGTGGGGGCGCTTCGTCTCCATGAGCGTTTGGTCGAGGCTATACGATGCGAGGGCACGAGCCCATCCTGCGCGCCAAACTCTTCGAGGAGGAGCCTGCTCGGCGAGTTGGCCGTGCAATCCACAAATCCTTGCACATGGTGTCCGGGGCAGCCGCTGCTCGCCGCCGCTCGTCGAGAAGCCATTCACGCCAGGATCTGAGCATTACACGCTCGCATTATGGGGAACATCGTCGTCGCGCCGCCCAACGAGTGCCACGTCATCGCGGGCTGCGGCGGCACGCGGTTCCTCATCGGCCAGGCGGGCTTCGCCTGGTGGTGCTGCAACAGCGTGCGCATCCTGTCGCTCCAGCTCATGCAGCTCGACGTGTCGAGCACGAACGTCGAGACGGGCGAGGGCGTCAAGCTCAACGTGCGCTCCGTCTGCCAGGTCAAGGTCGAGGCGTCGAAGATGATCAACGACAAGATGCAGATGAACATCGACAAGATAAAGCTCGCCGCGCAGCACTTTTTAGGCGAGAAGCTCCGCGCCGTCAAGGACAGCCTCACGTCGACCATGGAGGGCCACCAGCGCCAGGTGCTCGGCACGCTCACCGTCGAGAAGATCTACAAGGACCGCGAGGCCTTCGCGGCGACCGTCAAGGAGGGCGTCCTCGAGGACATGGCGAACATGGGCTTCGAGATCGTCTCCTACGTCGTCACGGACGTGTCCGACGAGAACGGCTACATGGACGCCCTCGGCATGACGCAGACGGCCAAGGTCAAGCGCGAGGCCGCCGAGGGCGTCGCGGCGCACGAGGCCGAGCAGCGGAAGATGGTCGCGGAGTGCGAGGCCGACGCGGACATGTCCGAGGCGAAGATGCGCGAGACGTCCCGCATCGAGGTCAACGCGCGCCGCACGGAGGCCGCCATCGCCATCAACGCGAAGACGCAGGAGGAGGCCGACTCGAAGAACGAGCTCGACCTCAAGGTCGCGGCGAACAAGCGCACGCTCGAGCTCAAGCAGGCCGAGATCAACGCCGAGGTCGGCCGCGCCGAGGAGCAGGCCCGCGCGGCGTCCATGATCGAGCGCGCGACCCAGGAGCAGAACGTCACGCGCGAGCGCACGCAGCAGCAGGTCGAGGAGGCGCAGGTCCTGCTCCAGGTCGCGGAGCAGCAGGCCCTCCAGGCCCAGGCCGAGTCCAAGGGCACGTCGCTCGCGGAGCTCGTCGTCCAGAAGAACCAGGCCGAGGGCATCCTCGTCGCCGCCAAGGCCGACGCCGAGGCGAAGCTCCTCTCCGCGGAGGCCCGCGCCAAGGAGATCGCCGCCATCGGCGAGGCCGAGGCCAAGACCATCGAGGCCAAGGGCCGCGCGGAGGCCCTCGTGCTCAAGGAGAAGAACCAGACCTACCAGTACATGGGCGAGGCGGGCATCACGTCCATCGTCATCGAGAAGCTCCCGGCCATCGCCGAGGCCATCGCCGCGCCCCTCGCCAAGACCGACAAGATGGTCTTCATCTCCCAGGACGACGCCACGGGCTCGAAAGTCACCAAGGACATCATCAAGACCATCGCCACGCTCCCCGACGCCGTCGAGGGCCTCACGGGCCTCGACCTCAAGAGCGCCATCGCCAAGGCCACGAAGCTCTAGGAGATTTCAAGAGCGCAGTTTTACTAAGACCAGTCCACCGTCAGGAGCAGCGCGGGCTCCGCGTCACCGGCGTCGAGGGTCTGTTCGGTGATGGTGCCGCCCCGCGCCGCCGCCGCGGCCACAAAGGCCGCGCGCGCGCCCTCGGCGCGGCCGGCGACGGGGTCCGCGATGAGCGCTCGAGGCGCCAGGCGCTCGCACGCGTCCGCGAGCGCCGCCATCGCCGCGCCGTCGTAGAGGATGTCCGACCCGAGCACGACGTCCGCGCGCGGCACGTCGACGGCGGCGAAGTCGCCCACGGCCGCGGACACGATCACGCCGGGCGCGCCCGCGGCGCCCGCGCTCAAGCCGTTGAGCGACGCCGTCGCCATCGCGCAGTGCAGGCACTCGGGCTCGCGGTCGACCAACGTCACCGCCGCGGCGCCCGCGCGCGCCGCCGCGAGGCCGACGACGCCGAGCCCCGCGCCGAGCTCGACGCAGCGGAGGCCCGCGACGCTCCGCGCGTCGCTCCGCAGGTGCGCCGCGAGCGCCCGCGCGCTGTCCCAGACGTCGCCCCAGCTCGGGTCCGGGTCCCGCGCGTCGCGGCCCGTCGCGACGTACCACTCCCAGAGCGCGTCGGCGTCCGGCGGCCGCACGAGGCCCTTGTCGAGGCCGTATTTGGACCCGTCGGCCTGGACCATGGGCGGCAAAACACGGTCGCCGTCGTGGAGGTGGAGCGGCGGCTGCTCTGCGGTCGTTGCGCGGCGAACGACGGTCGCGAGTGGTCGTCGATGCGATCGCTGCAGTGCGCGACAGAACGCGAGCATGCTGAGAGGTGCGAGGCGCATCGCAAGAGCTTACCCAGCTTCGCAAGTTAGCTGTCGCATCGCGAAGGCGAGAGGCAAACTTCGCGGCACGATGAATTCAACGTCGCCTCGGCGCGCATGGGCAGCCCAAGATGAGCGTCCTTGACGCGCCGCTCTGCCTCAAGCGCTGCACATATGCACTCACCATCTGCAACGCGCTCGCCGTCGCCGTATTCTTCGCGTCGCGCCACGCGCTGCGCATCTTCCTGCCCGAGGTCGCCGGCACGCAGGAGTGCGCCGGCGCGCGGGGCCGCGGCGGCGGCCCGCTCGTCGCCGTGAGCGGCTTCCACAAGAGCGGCATCTTCCTGTCGCGCAAGCTCGCCGGCGCCGCGTGCCTGCGCCTCGACGCGTGCTGCGCGTTCCATCCGCCGGACGCGACGCGCGCGCAGCTCGCGGCCTCGGCCGCGCGGCCCGAGGTGTCCGTCATGTTCCACTACCACCCGCTCCTCAACGAGTTCGCGGGACCGCGGCGCGTCGTCCTCTGGCGCGACCCGCGGTCGAAGCTGCTCAGTACGCTCGCGTACCACCGGCGCGGCGTCGAGCGCTGGGCCGTCGACGACGCCGCGCTGTCGCGGCGGGCCGTGGCCGAGGACCTCTGCGGCGCGCTCCAGCTCGGCGCGCGGGCCCCGGCGTCGTCGTCATTTTCGAAGAACTCCGTGGGTGACCCATCGCGTTTCTTTAGGCGCGCCTGCCGCCGGTTCCTGTCGACGGACGCCGCCGCGGAGCGGCGCGCGGGCGAGGCCGTGGCCGCGGCCGCGCGGCGCGCCCTCGCCGCGCGCCTGACGGAGGAGCCGCGCGCCCTCGCGGCCGTGCTCCGGTCGTCGACGGTCGCCGACGGCTGCGTCGTCGCGGGCGCCGTCGCGGCCTTCGACACGCTCGAGATGGCGCTCTTCGTCAACGCGACGAGGCGCGCGAGCGGCGCGCTGCTCCTGAAGCTCGACGACGTCGTCGCCGACTTCTCGGCGGCCGCGGACGCGCTCGTCGCCTTCTTCGGGAGCGCCGGCGGGCGCCTCGGGCGGCGCGCGCGCGCGGACGCGGCTGGGCTCCGGCGCAGCTTCCTCGCCTTCGACCTCCGCGGCGCGACGCTGGATGCCCACCAGTACCGGGCCTTCGACCGCGTAGTCACGCGCCACAGCTCGTCGCGGCGCTACGAGCGCGCCGCGGGGCGCGAGCTCCGCGCGCTCCTCTGCGGCCGCGGCGCGGACCGGGACCTCAGCGCGATCCTCGCGCCGGCCTTCGCGCTCCTCGGCGGGGACATGTGCGACGCGACTTAGGCGCACTCGGGCGGCGTGGCGAAGGCGTCGGCGGGGACCGCGCGCGAGTAGGCGCCGCGGGCGAAGAAGTCGTTGCGCACGACGGTCGCGCCGCCGTCCGCCGCGGCGTCGCGGCGCGCGAGCTCGTCCGTCGCCGTGACGAAGAAGGACACGTTGTCGGCCCGCCACTCCGTGCATGCGGTGCCGTCGACCTTCGCGGCGCCGGCCGACGTCGCGTCCGCCGGCACGTCGAGGAGCGTAAAAGGCAGCTCCTCGAGGGGGTTCGCGCTCTTCGTCGGCGCGGAATCGCAGGTCGTGCCCGTCCGGGGAGCCTTCGACACCGTGATGAGGTGGGTGCCGTTGAAGACAAGCTTGCCGAACTTGGGGTCGACGCGCGTCCAGGACTGCTTCTTGGCCGACACGCACATCGTGTAGTTATAGACGAGCTGCGGGACGATCGTGCCGTTCGACAGCGTCGTGTCGTACATGTCTGCGCAGAATTCCTGCGACGGCGTCGGCACCGCGTCCGCGGCGGCGAGCACCGCGTCCGCGGCGGCGAGCACCGCGTCCGCGGCGGCGAGCACCGACAGGGCGAGCAATTTGAGCATCATCATCGTGTGTGGGCAGCGATTTTGAGTGTCTCAAATCTTCAACAACCGACGAATTCTGTAAACACGATGGTCCGCCGTCTCATTCTGTAAAACACGATGGTCCGCCATCTCCTCGGCGCCGCAGCCCTCCTCGGCGCGGTCTACCTCGTGTTCATACCGCTGCACCGCGTGGTGCCCTGGGCCCTGCAGCTCGTGGTGAAGGCGCTCCCGGCGCTGCTGCTCGCGGCGGCCGTCTGGCGCGGCGGGAGGCTGCCCCGGCGGCGGCGCGTCGCCGCGGCGCTCGTCTTCTGCGCCGTGGGCGACGCGCTGCTCGCCTGCCCCGTGCTCGGCGCCGGCGCCTTCACGGGCGGCCTCGCCGCGTTCCTCGTCGGCCACCTCCACTTCATCGCGGCCTTTCTGCCCGAGCGCGACCGGGGCCTCTCCGCGGCCGCGACCGCGCGCCGCGTCGCGCCCTACGCGGCCGTCTTCGGCGGCATGTACGGGCTGCTCTACCCGAAGCTCGAGGGCGTCCTGGTGGGCGCCGTGGCGGCCTACGCGCTCGCGCTCACGTCCATGGCCGCGTCGACCGCGCTCCGCGGCGGCGCGGCGCCGGATTCGTACGCGAGCGGCGTCGTCGGCTCGTCATTCTTCCTCGCCACGGACGGCCTCCTGTCCATCTTCCACTTCCACGTCTTCGGCCCCGCGCCCTACCTCGCGCCCCAGTGGGCCGTCATGGCCACGTACTACGCGGCCATCGCGGGCCTCGCGCGGAGCCAGATGCCGCGCGACGACGCGCTCCAGGACGGCGCCTACGGTCGGCTCTCGCCGTCGGCTTAATATGTTAATTTCGAAACCGGGGATGTCTGCGAATTTGCGACCGCGCGGCGGGTCCTGGGGACCCCGCGCGTCGTTTTTGGTGTGCGCTGCGGGTCCTGGGGACCCCGCGCGTCTGCGCTGCGGGTCCTGGGGACCCCGCGCTTCAAATTGATCTCGCCGCCTCGCGAGGGAATGTGACGACGGCTCGTCGCCGCCGCCGTGTTGTAGAGAAAGCTTGCGTATTGATGCTTGGCTTGTGAATTGACGGTCTTGTGTTGTAGAGAAAGCGTGCAAATTCACGCTTGGCTTGTGAATTGATGGTCTTGTGTGGTAGAGAAAGCGTGCAAATTGATGCTTTGCTTGTGAATTGATGGTCTTGTGTTTTGAATTCCGCCGAGGGGTCCCCGGAGGGTTCGGCCGTCGGCTCGTAGGACGGCGGCCACGTCTCGGGCGTCGGTTCCAACGACGGCGCGAACGACGGCGTCGACGAGCTCGGATCGGGCGTCGGAAACGCCGATGGATCCGGCGTCGGGACCGACGAGCTGGGCTCGAGCGTCGGAACCGGCGACGGATCCGGCGTCGGGATCGACGAGCTCGGCGCGCTCGTCGGCCGAAACGTGTACGTCGGCGAACGCGACGGGGAACTTGTCGGCGTCAGCGACGGAGGAGACGACGGCGCCGGCGTTGGCGGCGTCGTTGGCGCGCTCGACGGCGCGCTCGTCGGCGGGACGCTCGGCGATACCGTTGGTAACTTCGAAGGCGGACTGGACGGCGCCGACGATGGGATGATCGTCGGTTCGGGCGTCTGGGCCCGGCAAAGGGCCAGGACGACCAGTCCCGCCCAGGCGCGCGTCATCATCGGACGGTCATGCTGCGTTGGGCACAGTGGGGCAGCCGCATCTCGCAACAAGTTCCCACTTAGCCCCACTTACATACGCTGCCCGCCAGGAAATGTGCTTCTTACGCCTTAAGTAGGTGCTCGAGCACTTTTATGGCAAAGCTGAACTTGTTGCCGGCACGTGATCGATAAGTTTCGCACAAGATCGGTACAATTTGGATGTTTTCGTCCGAGAGGGCCCTTTTTAGGAGCACTCTCAGCTGCCGTCGGCCCTGTTGGAACGCCAGCCCTGTCGAACGTCGACGCTTGGAACGCCAGCCCTTTTGGAACGTCCGACGTCACCATGTCGTCTCTCTCGGCCGAACAGCAGGAGGAGGTCGCCCAGATGATCGCCGACGCGTCTGCGAACTCCACGGCCGCGGCGGACACGCACTGGGTGCTCTACTGCGGCACGCTGGTCTTCCTCATGCAGGCGGGCTTCGCCATGCTCTGCGCGGGGTCCATCCGCGCGAAGAACGCGCAGAACATCCTGCTCAAGAACCTGCTGGACGCGTGCGTCGGGGCCATCTGGTTCTGGATGACGGGCTACGGCTTCGCCTACGGCGCGCGCACCGACAGCCAGTGGGGCAATTGGTTCATCGGCAACGACCTGTTCTTCCTCAACGGCCAGGGCTTCGTGACGAAGGACGCGTTCCACAACTGGTTCTTCCAGTTCGCCTTCGCCGCGACGGCTGCGACGATCGTCTCCGGCGCCGTCGCGGAGCGGTGCTCCATGGTCGCGTACGCGGGCTACAGCGCGTTCCTGACGGGCTTCGTCTACCCCGTCGTCGCCCACTGGATCTGGAGCGGCGACGGCTGGCTCAGCGCGTTCATCCACGACCCCATCTTCAACGTGGGCGTCGTCGACTTCGCGGGCTGCGGCGTCGTGCACATGGTCGGCGGCGCGGCCGCGGGCGTCGGCGCGTACATCCTGGGCCCGCGCCTCGGCCGCTTTGGCGGCGAGAACGCGGGGCCCATCAAGGGCCACTCCATGCCCCTCGTCGTCATCGGCACGTTCCTCCTCTGGGTCGGCTGGTACGGCTTCAACCCGGGGTCGACGCTCGTCATCGTCGACGCGGACGTCGTCGCCGCCAAGACGGCCGTGACGACGACGCTCGCGGCCGCGGCCGGGGGCGTGACGAACCTGTTCATCCACTACAAGCTCACGCACACCTACGACGTCGCCGAGATGTGCAACGGCATCCTCGCGGGCCTCGTGTCCATCACGTCCGCGTGCGCCGTCGTCGAGCCTTGGGCCGCGCTCGTCATCGGCTTCGTCGGCGCGTGGGTCTACACGGCGGGGTCCAAGATCCTCGTCGCCTACTATATCGACGACGCCGTCAACGCGACGCCGGTCCACTTCTTCGCCGGCGCGTGGGGCCTGCTCGCGCCCGCGTTCTTCGCGCGGCCCGAGAACATGCGCGCCGCCTACGGCAACCACTCGCGCGCGGGCCTCTTCTACACCGGCGACTTCTCCATGCTCGGCTGCCAGCTCCTCGCCCTCGTGAGCGTCACGGCCTGGGTCGTCGCGCTCATGGGGCCCTTCTTCCTCGCGATGAACCGGTTCGGCCTCTTCCGCGTCCCCGAGGACATGGAGATCGACGGCCTCGACAGCTCGAAACACGGCGGGTCCGCGTACGGCTTCGACCTCGAGGCCAAGGTCGTTCCCGCCGCGACCACCGCTCCCGCTCCCGCGGAGGTCTGATCGCGGACGAGGTCTGATCCCCGGCACACCTGCACATACGCCGGCGCCGTCCCTCGCGGGCGCCCGGGCGCGGCGCGGACCGAAATCCGCGGCGCTCCCCCGAGGCACCGCCATCGCGGGCTACACGCCCGCGAGCAATTAAGTCCAACGACCCCACTCGTGGAACCTAGACAACCTGCCCTCGATTCACGAGGCAATCTTAGGGGCGGCCTAGAACCGCGACCGCGGCAACCGCGTCACGGCGAGGCAGGCCGGCTG